CCTTATTGTTTTTAGTGCTGGATTTGATCTATAAGTAGGAGAGCTGCGTCGATAGCTGATTTCTTTAATCTGCCTCCTATCTGTGAGTTGTGTAGAAGGCTTGTAGTCTCGGCTAGGTAGCTGAGTCTTTTAGCTATTATCCGTTCTATTACTTTGCCTAGATAGCTTAGAAGAGTAATTACTCTATAGGCCTTTGGGATAGAATAGTCGGGTTTGGACGGCTTCTTTAGAATAGCTCCTGTAGCTCTTCTCTAGCACGTTGGATGGTATCTATAGTTGAATAGCAGAGAGTAAGCTTTAAAGAACGTGTTTGGTTGAGCTTGGTAGGCAGCTGTGATAATCTTATGTGATAAAGCGTCTGGGCCTAGTGTGCTACTTTTTACTTTATTAGAACACGCATATTCTAGTTCGGTTATTGATAGCGCTGGCCACTCCTACTCTTTCTCTTAGTAGTTATTGAAGCTTGGTGGTACTGTACTTGGAGGCGGAGGAAATAGTGCTTTTCGAAAGGCTTTGCACTTTCCTTTAAACGAGGTTTCTAGCGTCTCTCCTTGGATAGGAGGGATTCTTTCTACTCTCTTTTCCTTTGTATAGTCCATAGCTTTGAAGATAGATTGTGGGTTTTCTTTTTCTAGAAAGTTATTCTAGTGCTCTCTTTTAGCTTTCTTAATTGCCGTTTGGTAGGTGTTTCGTGCTAGAAGGAAGTCTCTTTTAAAGAGATAGGCTTCCTTTATAGAGGTAGCTTGAGGTTGTTGCGCGAATATCTTTTGGCAGTGAGATACGTTTCTTCGTAGCTTAGTTAACTCCTGGCTCTACTAGGGCTTTGCTTTTGGCCCTAGCTTTAGTTGTGGAATAGCTTTATCTGTAGCTTGTTAGATTACTAGAGTAATAGCTTCTCTAATTGCGTCTAGCTGCAGCTTAAGCTCGTTGTCTTGGCTTAGGAGTAAGTTTCTTAAATCTGCTTTTCTTGGTTGGTTAATCTGATCTAGGCCTTGGAGAGCTTGGTTGCTCTAGATAGCTCTGTCTAGCTCTTCTCTAAATAGGTCCTAGTCTGCCCTTTTCGTATTATATCTTTTTTGGCTAGTAGGGTTACTAACTAGGTTCTTTGTTGTCTGGATTGAGAAGAGTATCCCGTAGTGATCAGATCCGGTTTCTGTCGTGGTTTGCTAGTCTTTAACTTTGTCTTCTAGATCTAGTGTGGCGATAGATAGATCTAGCGTTGTTTCTCTAGATAGATAGGGTCTAAAGAAAGTAGCTGTGCCTAGCGTGTTTATAAGGCTAAGGTGTTGGTCTTCTATCCAATCTACTAGTTATTGGCCGCCTTAGCTAGTATTACTACTGCCTGGGTCCCACCAAGGGTGGTGCTCATTGGCGTTCATTAGTAGAAGAGTAGATGTTGGTAGCCGGGTGTTTGCAAGTATTCTTTGAAAGGTTTTTATATTTTTATGGTTTTTTTAGTTGTATACGTTGTAGATATTAAACCTTAAGCGTCCTTCTTATATCGTGATAGCAATAGCGTCGGGATCAGCTATCTCTTCTAGCTGGCTAACCTCTGCTGTTAGAGATCTAGATATATAAAATAGAGCTCTTGGGCGGAGGTTTGGACCTGCTTTTGGAAAGATTTGGTAGAAGCTTTAGTGGGCTATTGACCTTGGAGCTTCGTAGCTATTGCTGCTAGAGGGTACAATCCACGGTTCTTAGATTACAATAATATTAACTTTTAGCTCAATTACTAGTTGTAGCGTTAACTCTGTAGCCTGTATACTTTTATTTAAGTTTACTTATAGTACTTTAAGGTTTTCTATTATTATTTAATAGCTAGAAGGACCTCGCAGTCTTTGCTATTCGCAAAGTGGGTTTGTTTGCAGTTTTTGCATTTTAGGAGCGTATAGTTACAAGCTTTTCCTTTTACTTTGCAAATGCTATAGAAGTGCTAAGTAGTTAGGTGGTTTTCAGCACAGAACTGGCAGCTAGCTAGGTTTCTACACCTGCTAAAGTTGTGTCCGAACCCTTGGCACTTACTGCACTAAGTAGTTGGTGGGATTTGGCGGTATTTCTTAACCCGGAGCGATTAGCCAAGTATTGTTATTCTATTACCAATCTTCTTCGCTTCTTCTTCGGATTTAAAAGCAATAACAATAGAGCTTGTTTATTTGGTTTTCCAGTTTCTAGATAGCCAGTAGGGGTTCCCAACGATAGTTTGGTTCTTATTATACGTTGGGATTTCTGTGTGGAGAAGCTGGAGATTTTCAGCTTTAGTAAAGGTTATTAGTACTCCGTGTACCACGAGTTTAGTCCAGGACTCTAGAGGCTGGGCTTTCTTAATTAGCAGCTAGTTTTGCCAAGTATTGATTTGCTTTAGAAGAAATTCTCCTGAGTATCCTTCGGTGGTCGTAAGGATAAGGTTGTTTCTTTTACTCGTTGCTACCTGTTGGATAACTGGGCCAGCGATGCCAACCTTCTAGAAGGCTTGGTTAATCTTATTTCTTACTAGTAGAGGGCTGGTTATTTGGCCCTCTTCTAGTGTTACTAGCGTCTAGTAGTAAGATACTAGTTTTTTAGCTAGTTGCGCTAGCTTCTTCTTTGGTTGGACTGTTGTCTAGGCCTAATTTAAGTTGTTTGCTGCAATTATAGCGTAGGAGGTTTAGGCTGGTTTTTAAGCTACTTATATAGCTATTAGTTGTGCCTTATTAGAAGCTATAGTAGTAGCTTGTTTAAGCGTCTTTATTGCCTGCTGGGAGGCATTTGCCAGCGTAGCTAAGTGGTTAGCTAGTTTGGCAGATAGCTTTTCCGTAATTTAGTTAGCTACTCTACTAGTTTCAGTATAGTCTCTAAAGACGTCTAGTAGCTCTAGTAGCTTGTTTTGGGCTACGTGGGATTCTTCTATTGTGGAGGCTTGAAGGATTAGATCTCTAGCCTAATAGATTGCCTGTTTAGAGTTCTTGGCGATTGGTTTTAGGCTAGAGGTATTCTGGTATAGATTTCTACCTCTATAGGTATTCTCTAGTGAGAAGTTGGCGTATCGTTTGTTTGGTGGTAGTATTGGTATTTTAAACACGCTAGGTGTTTGTTGGTTTTGAGTAGGTGTAGCTGGAGTAGACTCTATCTCCATTTCTCTATTAGTTTGGGCCTCTGGCCCTAGGCTCTCCTGTCTGTTTTCTTGAGTATTTACTACAATAGTATCACTGTCTGGCGGCATTTTATTACTAAGCTCTTTTCTTAGTAAGTAGCTAGATGGTCTGTGTGTTTTTGTTTTCGTGAGTGAGACGTGATTAGATTAGCTACTTTACCAGCTTCTAGCTCTATAGCGCGTGGGCTGCACGAGTTGGCACTAGTTGTAATAGATTTCTTGGGATGGATTTGTATATATTTCGCTAAAATTACACCTATTCTGAAAAACTCGAAGTTGGTGAGGTGAGGTAGTCGACCTAATATAGGCGCTTATATTGCTCTATCTGTTCTTTAAACATCTGAGATATCTTCTTATTATTAGGTTTCTTAAACCTAGGTTGTTCCTAGGCAGCTCTATAGGTAATCTTATCTACTTAGGGTTCTAAGATTATAACTCTTCCGTTGCAGTTATAATTATTAGCTTAGTGCGTAGTTAGTCTGTAGATTTAGTACTATTAATTTCTTAGGCGGCGTAATACTTTAGCCTCTTTAATCTGCTAATTTGTTAGTAGTAGTGTGTCCTACTTAAAGTCTTAGAGTTCTATTACCTCTTGTACTAGCTTAAACGCCTTGTTAGTAGCTTATCTTACTTCTTTGTATAGGTCTAAGTCACTAAGAGTTTTATCTAGCTTCTTAGTTAGGTATAGTGTTAGTATCTGAATTATCCTAATCTTAACCGCTTCTTATCTAACTTCGTTTTCTAGGTAGTCTCTGCGGAAGTGTTTTGTCTTTCTATATTAGAGATATACTTTATTATTATAATACTTCTTACGTTCTTCTAGGGAGAGTCTGTTATTATACTATCTTTAGTATTTCTTATTCTTATCTTTAGACTTATCTTATACCTTACTAGTTATAATAGTGTCGCTATCTTTATTAAACTAGCTACGCTGCTTTCTTATGTTAGCTATCGTAGGTTAAAATTATTTCTTTTATTAGTTTCTTTCCTATAGCCTATTATTAATATATATTACTAACTTAATTAGCGCGTGAAGCGTTATTAGCTTATTATAATATATAAGTCTGTTTTTAATATTTTCCTTTAGACCTGCTTTGAATACCGTTTAAAGTGCTGCGTTGTTCTAGTTAATTTATACTTATAGCTGCTTAAACTCGGCTGTATACGCTAATACTAAACTAGTCTACTTTAGGCGAGTTATCGCTTTCTCTATCTAGTTCTAAGCATCTACTTCCCTAAAGATATATCCTATCTTTTTCTTAAATTTGGCCTAACTAGTGAATAAGGCGCGCGTCTCGTTCTTTATTTCTCTATTCTTAATATTTAATAGATAGTCCTCTACGTATAGTGTTACACGGGGTAAGGGTCTATACTTCTCTATCCTGGTCCGCACTAAGGCAGGTGAGTATTACGTTAGTGTTCCGTGAGGCTTGTCTGGCGATGCAGTGGAGTTGGCGTGCTTAAGGAGGGTTTGACAAGACTAATCTATTTGATAGACTAACTTGTGACAATCTTGTTAAGTAAAGATACTAGTAAGAAAGTACAATTTAAGTTGACCACAACGAATGTAATAATGAAATCCAACCCATTCTTATATCCGTTGCCTTTGGTCCTGCCATCCCTTACTTCCCTGCCATCCCTGGGATGGTTGCCCTTGGCGGGATGGCACATCACGTGACCTAGCCCCGCGATGATCATTACCTTCTGACGTGGACGTCCATAGGCCTTCAGCCATCTCGTCATTTGTCAAGGAGAGAATCCTTCTTGTTACTTGTAACACACGGGCAGGAAGGACAGGCACGTGTACAGGTTCTATTGCTACAGCTAATCAACAGGCTCTCACTACAGGTAGTATGAGTAGAAGATAGGACGTAGCTCAGAGAGCTATCTCGGCTGCGATGCTGCGGTTTTGCAGAATCCAGGTGCTCGGGCCCGCACCCGGATTCTGTCCGCGACCAATTAGGACAGCCGTGCGCCAGCCACCTAGCTGGTGCAGCAGCCCTAGCAGCCGCCCGGGGATTTCCAGCCTCTTGCACCTGGAAATGGCCGGTCTGCTGCTATATTAGCTAGCGCCGTGACACTGCTAGTAAGATCGAAGACGTTATTTAAGGGTTTAGATATAATTTTAGCCGCTATAGCTACCGCAAGAAATTGTCAGATTGTGATGAGTTATCAGAGATAGGCGAATAATGGATGAATTATTGATTAGATTGATTGATCTGATCTGAGTTGTCGTTCTGTCTAATCTGATCCACGCTGATCCCCTGAGTATGATCGCGGTGGATCGTGCACTCTGACTAATTACAGAATCCGGATCCTATCCACCACCCAAAATATGCCCATGTTCTGACAGAAATATTAGGATCTCTTTCTATAATCACGAGAGAATCACGTCGCCTCTAGCCGAGTTTATCTACCTATATAGCTCCCTATACTATCTACTATAAGCTCTGGCTAGTATATACCTCTATTAGTATTCTCCGCTTCTATTCCCCTTTTAGATATCGAAAACACCACTTCTATATAGTACTAGAGCCCTTCTAAACTAAGCTTTTACCTAAAAACTTAACTATGCGCCGATACTAAGGAAAATTCTACAAAAGGATGCCACAAAAGTGAGGTTTGCCAAAGTCATTCTTGTAATGGGCTGCGCCCGTGGAGTGAAAGCACGTGATTGTATCACGTACCCACATCACGTGCCTATATCACACCGCTTAGTTAGAACTTACTCGTACGAAGAGTAGAGAAGCAAGGTATAAAGAGAGAGGTGTCGTACGACAGCTTAACTCTTCTTATCTTTCTTCTTCTGTACTATAGGCTAATGCAAACTCGTTCGAAGGCCTCTCCGCCCATAACAATTCTGGGCCGAACCTTGCTTTTTGCCGGCCACAAGCAAGTGGCCCTGACATACTTCAATCCGACTTCTGGTTGTCTTCAAGTTGTTGCATTGTGCAATGAGATTTCTGAAGAAAACCGGAAATATATAATGGACACGATTGATGCTGGTGCAGATCTAGAACTTCGGGACGAGCAGGGTTATTCAGCTTTGGAATCTGCAGTCTACAACGGCGATGATGAGACGACTAAGATCATCGAATGTGGGCTGAGAAATCAGTTACGAGTAGAAAATTACGATGTCCACAATTGAATGACACAACTCTTCTATGAAGCAAATCTTCGGAAAGGATATAGAGATATCTTTCAGGATAAGCTGCGACCAGAACTTCTCTAGGGAAAGGAAAAACCAGAGCAGAAAGACCTGACGCTACAAAAGCTCCGCCAGACGTACGCGCTATCTTTGGTCAATGAAAAAAGGATCAAAGAGACTTTTGATAAACTTAAATTCATAGCGTACACTGACTTTGTTCGGATCAACCGGCTTCCTCGTTCAAATGACGGATACACATGCAACCTTTCCCGGTATCAAACCAGTCAAATTAATCAATTCGTCCTGTTCTTTTCGTATAGGTGGATTACCAATCAAAGCCAGGAGTCTGCTGCCGAGTTCTCTCCAGGCGATGAAAATTGTATACAATACAGACGCATGCTTGATGCCACTGAGAATTTTCTGAAGCTGCATCCGGAAGTTGATCGAACCAACATGTGCATCTGGATCGTAAGCGAATATAAATCTGATGACTTGCAAGAAATATACTAACATCTTTGCCAGGACTTCGCTTGTGTCAACCAAGATCAACCAGCACCTGCTGTTGCTGCGCTTCCAATGAACCTTGCTCAATGCAACGCAATGATAAGTATCATTGATACGCAATATTATGATAGCTCTTGGTGCTGCATTGAGATTCTCATGGTTCAGACATTGCAAAAAGCATACGGCCTGCATTTATGGTATGAACACAACGTGGATCCCTTATCTGGTGAAGCATTGTTGAAATGCGGACCAATAGACTTAAAGATTGATATGGCAGATAAACACGTGACATTTGACAGCGACCGACCAAAAATACTCTTCCTAGAGCGACAAACAAGACTATTAGGGTAGGCGTACTGAAAACTGTGAAATGGAGGAATATCAAGTATTTCAATGGACAGCGTCGGAGGCAAGCATACTGTCGCTAGGCGGGATTGCAACTTGTTGCATCAAACGGAAAGATTTGTACATACTATTGTATCTCCTGACCCTGATTGATTCTCAGGGTTTCCAGGATGTGTGCTGTTTCCCTTCCAGATCCAGAAATCAATCAAGGTTCCCAATAGCGTTGAATTGATGATGTGTTCATTATTCTACAAGTCCTCGGTTGGAGAAATGCCGCCACATTCGCTTTAGCGCGGGGTATCAGCTATACCCGTGCCCCAATAATTGTCGTTGCCTGATCTTTGCTGGCTCTCCTCACTCATTTGAATCATCTGCTTTCTTGACAACTCAGTTTCGTTCTGTCGATTTGCATTCCATGATTGTGGAACTTGGCGATGTTACTCGATTTTTCTCGTACTACGCTTGGAACGGCTAATGTTAATGGTACTCGGTGCATCGAGTACATTCAGCGTGGATTGACAGCTGGATACCGCAGTATTGATACCGCCCAAGCATATCGAAATGAAGAAGCCGTCGGCCAAGCAATCCGAGAGCACTCAGTACCACGTAAACAAATCCACGTCATGACCAAAGTCTCTACAGGCTTCAAGCAAAATCCAGGCAGCCTTAATGAAGTCAAAGACGCAGTCGAAGGCTCTCTGACAAGGCTGAAAATAGGTTATGTGGATGCGATGCTGATACATCATCCGGGTGATGACACCGTTGACCCGGAAGCTGCATATCGACGTCGAGTGACATGGCAAGGGCTGGAGACGTTGGTGGAGCTGGGGAAAGTGAGAAATATCGGAGTCAGCAATTTCAACATCGCGCATCTACGTGAACTGAAGCAGTACGCCAGAATATTGCCAGTTGTCAACCAAATAGAGGTAATCATATCCGCGTTATCACGATTTTTAAAGACTAATACCCTGCCAATAAGCTACATCCATGGTGTCAACAGCGAGAATTGGTCAATCATTGCCAGAAAGAAAAGATTCCACTTCAAGCATATCTCGCAATTTCCAGAAATTCTCAAGAAAGCGATGAAGGGCTGAAAGCACTGGCAAAGAAGTACAACGTATCGGCTGCCGCAATTTTGATCTGCTATAGCGTTCGCAAGGGTTTTCTTCCTATTGTAAAGGCAGAGGATCCTCAACATCTAGTTTCTAACTTGAAGGCGGAGAAGCTGTGTATCGAAGATGAAGATCTAGCAGTGATAGATTCGTGGGACATGGGAAAAAGTGGATCAATAAGTGAGTATTTGGATCTATTGTAGAGTATTACACTAACAATGGACACAGTGCCATGGTTGATGGGTCCCGGCTAAATTTGCAGATCTTGCTAAATGCATTCTAACTAGTTACATATTTAACTTTTCTATGTTATCTCACTTCTCATAGAGATAAAGTAGGTTAGATTACTGATACTGCTATAATGTACTATAATTCTATCCTGTGAAAGCCAAACGATAAACTCAAGCAATCTTTACAGTGACATTTTGATCGCAGCTGCAGTGTGAAGTATAGAAACGAGTTCTCCCAATGACTTGGCCTTTCATTAGGAAGAACCCAACTCCGCTGTTGGAGGTATACTCATACCCTAACTCTGGAATAATGTAAAGCCGTGTGTCCGTTGTTGGCTGTTGCCACAGCTGTGCACGAACTAGATTCTGGTGAAGACAGCGTGGGCAACTGATAGACACCAGATGCTGTTCGGAAAAGTCGCATAGTTGTTGTCGCAGTTTGGAAAGATCGAAATTCTCGAAATGCTCTAATTCAGGTAGTGGCATAGAAGAAGAAAGAGCGAGTAGAGACATAACATCATCGTATAGTGTTGACGAGTCTTCGAAATGCATTTCACTACCTTCCTTCGAGGACAGATCAATAAGGTGATGAAGCATCTTTAGAATTGGACTGGATTTAGAGATGCGGAAACGAATTTCAGGAGCCTTTATCCTTTGGCTGATATGGCCACAGCAAATGAGAGCATATGGGTCCACAGCCTCTATACGGTTGATAAGCCTTTCAGTGGATTCGTTTGTCGATTCAAGCAATTCGTTTAATTCGTTCATTGTAGCATTTAACGATTGATTCCCAACCCGGAGCCATGTGAAAATATGGGTTACGTCTCCAGCATATTGCACATCTAGATATACACAATGATCTAGTAACTGAGGTATAGTCTTTGCAGGCTTTGTTTGGACACCCCAGCTCCACATGTTTGGTACGATCGATTGGTGGCCATTGAGCCACCTAGCCTTTGCATGTGGAGACTCCCCAGACGGTCTGAGCAACAATGGGCTAATGTCATTATTTTGAATCTGTCTCTCTGCAAGCCAGAGACACGCGTCTTCGGCGTCTGCTGGAAGCTCCTTAGAATAATCAGGGACCCTGAGTAATTCAGAAGCGCCGATAAATTTGTCGCGGAATGAGCGGCAGCCCAAATTTGCGATCATGTCGAAAACGTAGCCTAAGCATTTATTCTTTTGCCGTTCTCGAATGAAGAGGGGTAGACCGTAGATCCATTGCACCAGATCAACACCCCGCGATAAAGTAAGATTTTCTGCCTCTCTAACAGCGTCCAAGATATTCTTGACGAAGACTGTAAACTTTGGCTCCAGAATGCTATATTTTTCACTCATGATATACGCCTCTCCAGCTCGATCGAATTCTACGATTGGCCATAATCTGCTGAATAAATGTGCAGCGAAGAATTGTTGCAAACCGTCGCTGCGTTGACTAACAGTCTCAAATGTAGGCGTATTCACAATTTCATTTGGAGGCATTTGCCCGAGGTGGAGGACGCAGCTGCTGCTAGCCTCAAATATCTTGAATATCTGTGGCAAGATGATAGTGCCTCGAAAGTTGTCTTCCCATTGTGGTATGCTGATGTAATCATGCCATAGAAGATGGTCAGGTCCAAAGCGACGACGTATAGCCATGAGCGTACGGAGTGGAGCTTCGTAGCAAGTCTGTGCTGCTTTCATGTTGAAAGTGCGATTTGCATAGGCCTCTGCTATCGATGGATGCCATGGATGGGAAACCGGAACGTATTTGATACTTCTTTCTTTCAAGCATCTCAGGTGATAGTTTTGAATATGGAGAGGTGGCAGGCTTTGTCGGAGAGGGTCCGTGACGCTAACATCATGACCCAGACAAAGAAGCCTCACAGGAGGTTCGATAGCAAGGTCGAAATCCTCTTCACATATGATACACGGTGTACCAAAGCCCTGAGTCCATGCACTATGCAGAAACCTTTCAGGAGAGAAATCCAGTCTCTGGCCACTAAGAAACACTGTAAATTTGGATTCCATATCATAGACACCTAGAGTATCTTCAACCTCCAGTTCTTTGCCATGAATATAAGGAGTATCCCAGGATTTGTCTCTCATAGTGGGAAAATATAAATTTTTCGATTGTGTATACGTTCGAACGAATCTATGCATTCACGAATGTCAGCCAATTGTGAAGGTTCGACAAAGGGTTTGTCTATGTGCTGCTTTAAAGCCTATCAACAGGATATCCCGGTACTTACCTTTCGATCCTGAGCTGTTCCAATACACTGCGGTGGGTGCGGAATATCCTGGCTCCCCATGCAAGATAGGGATATAATCGACGCTGTAGCAACCTAGGATGATAGAGTGTAAAGCGCGAGGCAGACTGTATCTAGACGAAGATGTGCTAGGCAGATACCTCGGAATCTTCTGCGATGTTCAAAGCAGTAGCCGTGCAAATAACGCAGTCTTGCTGCCTAGACCTAGCCTCCCCACAGGGAGGGGATGGCGCAATGGCAAGCGCTAGTCACTAGCTTGGTTGTGATTGCCATCGCGTGGCTCCAGCTGAGCCACCTTGCGCGTAGCCAGAGCCTTGGCCACATCAAAACCAGTTGTGTAAAAACAAAACTAGTTCTACCGCTTAACCCTATTTTCTCACTCGTCTATTGTATGGAAGTTGATTTTCAAGCTTGTGGTATAAAGTGTGCTGTTGGCCGCTATGCTTTCTCCATTATGGCGAAGCATGTGCCACCAATTCAAGCGGGGATCTAAGCTCGAAATTAATCGAATTCGGGTCTGCGAACGAGAACGCAAGGCAGCGCGCCTTAGTCAAGACAACTTACGAAAGAGTATTGAAGAATTTCACAAACTCGGGTTCGTCATTCTAGAGAATGCCTTCGATCTCCAATCTGCAGAGCACCTGCTCGAGAAGATGCTGAAAGACTTCCACGGCCGCTTACAATCCTCAACCTTCCGCTGGAATCAGGGACAGAACACTGGAAACATATCGCAGCCGGTTCCATCTTTTCCTGAGTATCTTTATGAAGATATATGGGCCAATCGACTTGGTGTTGACATAATGGAAAACATTATCGGACCTACGCCCCATCTCTCACTTGCCACGTCCAACATTGCCCTACCCAAATTTCAAGGCCGGCAAGCGGTCCATAGCGATTATTACTGCGATCATCATGACTTTCCTGTTTTTCTAGAAGTTAACATCTATCTGCACGATGTTGATTGGCATAACGGGGCAACAGAGTTCTGGCTTGGCACACACAATGGTTATTCCAAAGCCGACCATAGCTCTCCCACTACAGGCTGGATTAAGCAAGAAACTTTCAATCGACGCGCAGAGATTTCACCCCCAGTCCAGCTGGCCGTTCCCAAAGGCTCTCTAATCATTAGGGATTTACGATGCTGGCATGCTGGACGAGAAAATCACAGTTCTCATCCACGCATTATCTTGGGTTTCCTATACAGTCCTCGCTGGTTCGATTCGCGTATGCGTATGACATTACCGTATAGCGCTCAGCCCATACTAAAATCATGGAATCATATAGAATGCATCAAATCTGTGGACTTTGTTGCGGACAATTTTGACTATCTACATTATCTTCCAGATATAAATCTATCGCAAAGTAGATTGAATAGTAAGATGATAACAACTCCTAAGCGGAAAGAGGTTACTGTTACAACAAAAGACTATTGGAACCCTTATTAAAGACATAACGTCTGAAAGTTATATTACGTAGAATATAATTTTCACGGTGCTCTAAACTGGAGGATAACTCTTGGGGATCTATTGGGTACCTCTTAGGCTAGAGTGGTCCTAGTTACGTGCATAGAGTAGACTTGTCGATGTAGCAGGTGTTTACCTAGCAATAATCCAGACCGTCGCGCTGAGCTTGTCGTGCATAGAACATAATCTTGCTGTAGTCAGCCTTGTCTTTTCGGTTGACAGTCGATAAGTCGTCGAATATCACCTCATGCCCATCCCACCACGTATGCAAGAGAATTGCGTACGAAGGGGCCTCTTCTTCATTTACAGAGGTTTCGTACAAACCAAAACTACTATTGGGTGTATACTTCGCAAGTCGCATTGCGTCGCGCAACGGTAGCCAGAGTTCGTAGGCGGGGCTCGTATCTGAAGTGGCAGCGCAAGTTTGGCATGTGTGGAGCGCTCCCCTCCTCCTCACGACTACTACCTCTACTGCCTCTGCTGCCGGCAGACTGCCCGGCTTAGGAGAGATCCCAAGGAACACGTGCTATGCTGAGCTGAGTGTTCGCACGTCAATTGATCGCGGACTTGGGCTCTAAACAATACCCGCCTGCGCTGCGTGCGCTACTACTCTGGTCACTGTAGAGTGGCCATTATGCAGCTCTACCGGATCTTCTTCATCCTCGTCCTCGTCTGAGCTGCAGTTTCCTCCACTGCTAACAGCAGCAACAGATCCAGATTTTCCGCCTATCCCTCGTTGTAGCCTGCAGTGAAGCACTCTTCTAGGTGACGGTACTCTGCTGTCATGGTACGTGTGAAGTGATTGGTGTCCTAGGGCTCACTGCCGCTAGCCCAGAAATAATCAGTAGTCGCTCGCTGACGCAGTACTCAGCCACCTTGCTTTGGCTACCACTAAGTAGTATCGCGTGTAGGGGCCGTAGGTATAGCATCACTGACTGGTCTATTGCCTCGGTCAGGAACCGCGCGGCTACCTTGGGTCTGTGCTACTGTGACTGTGCCTTGTGGTAGCGAGTGATAAACGCGACTTGGCCGTCTATGACGTAGAGACTGCAGTTTTACAGCACATTGTTACGCCAGCGTACGAAGAGTAGCTCTGGCTGCGATGTGGCTGGCCGTCTGTGAGATGAACATCAAGGCAGAGTAGCTCTGGGAAACGATCCATCTGTTCAAGGTAGTGTTGGACTGCTCGCCGTCTCCACTGTATGCGCTGTTGATAAAGCTTCTTCGTCGTAAGCACCGTGCGTAACCAATCAACCCAGCATCCACGCTTGTCCCTGATGCAGCCGCAAGGCCGAGAGGTAGCACACGCCACGACGTACGGCAGATACGTCGTCTTCTAGCTCGGCTAGCCTACAGTAGTCGTTGGCCGATGCTTCTGCTCGTTGGTTCACTGCAGCACTTTACTCTAGCCGCTTACGTACCGAGAGAAAGAACATTACTAGCTGCGTGCTGCATGCAGAACTGCACAGCTAAGATTTACCGGTAACTTTAGCTTGAATGACTAGTTTGCCATCATATCACTGCTCAAGTGTACCATCTTTGAAAATGTTCAGCTACGGTCTGCGTAAATGGTACTACCTCCGCACGAAGTAGCTGCATGCATTGAGCGTCAGCAGATGCACTTCCCCACAGATCTCTTAGCACAAGGCAACTGTGGCTTAACATCGCAACTAGCCATTCACTGCCCCACCTCACATGCACGCTCCGGCAAGTCCAAGAAACACTATGTCAAAACAGACTAGCTTCATCGCTACGTCAGAAGTACAGTACTCGCATGAACCGATCTTCAGTCTTTCAATACTCACACACGTCGCTTATTGGCAACATTGAATTAACCGCCCTTTGTTAAGCATCGTTGGTGGGCATCTTCTGTTCTACGTTGACGAGAATGCTCAGCTTATGCATGAGCCTAGGCCGCGAGGCACAGCCTAGCTGCCAAGCCTATTAATTGAAGTTGTAGGTTTGGACATTTGCTGGGCCAATGGCTCCTACTGTCGCAGGAACAAGGCAGATAAGAATACGGCACCTGAGTTTAATAATAGAATTCATCGGTCGCATGCCATTTCTGGTGGCGTGAATTGTCGGGTTGTGCGGGGTTTTGAACAGGGTCGCCATTATAATTTCAACAACAGATTCTGCTAGCTTGAAGAGTGATGTAAGCAAGAATCAAGCAGGCTCGACGACAGGCGTACTCTCACTTCGTTGGTCATCCTTTGTGTAGAAGTCACTTAATCAAACCTCGTATAACTCGGATTCAGCTATGGTAAATGAAAGTCAATTTAGCTTCGCATAACACCAATACAGAGTACAAGACTTTGATCCATCACAATATTGGAACCTAGGGAAGACTCTAAAAAAACACACGACGAAAGCTTGGGCACATTCAGTTGCGACTGGTCGTCTTCAAAGTTCTCTATGCGATCTAAATGCTACAGTAAGAGTATGTACTAAATTTCCTGTTTGGTAATTAGCTCGCTATTCTGCAAAGGCGTTGAATACATAAAGGCGCTCAAGCTGCCTACTAACGTAGCATCATCAAGTTATCATTCCAACACCTTAACTATCTCTGGCTTATAACCGTTGCACTACGATGAATACCAAGCTTATCGCTCTTTGCTTTGTGTTCTATATCGCCCATTCACTCGAAGGACCAGTCGATGTAGCTTCTGGAACCTCGCTCACAAGTAATAGCTACTCACTCTCCTGCAAGCAAGGGATGACACTGAAGATTGATAGATACTATCGAAGGTTTTCCCGAGCAGCGTATTGCATCTAAAGGGCCGTTGAATGCTAGTGAGAAAGCTGGTACGTGTATCTGATACGCGTTGAAGCATCTCTCCTTTCAAAGAAATATCTAAGGTTCATTAGTGTGCTACCTTTGTAGTTCGCCATGTCGTGGCTATTACTGCTGCAATGGTAAGCAGTGTGCTAAGATTAATGGGGGTTGTTATTGTCTTCCGAAAAATTGTCTTTCCATATAGAGTTTCAGTCTTGTGTTTGAAAACCCATTCTATCGCTGGTCAGTGGTCTTAAAAGTTTTTTTGCTCCCAAATTGTTTCCACAACATCTCCTACAAGCTATCGTGTCTTGTTGGTACTTAAGTTGCGCACCCAAGACCCTATCAAAAATCGCAAAAAAACACTTTTGTATCTCAGCAACAACATTTTCATAACTCTTTAAAATCTTATGAAGTATCTAAATTGATAGCAATACATCTTTACCGATGTACATATATATGAAAATTGTGACTTTGACAGCCTAGCTGAGAGTACTTAGGGGAGGTGCAGCTTAACCTCTGTGCTACAGTACCTATCCACTGCTCAAATTACATCGCTCCTTCGGTACTGCCAGCCGGGCCTTTAGAGTTACCCATCTTATATGTATGAGGGACGGTGCGCTCTTTGCGTCCAGCGGCTGCTGCGTAGAGCTGACTTTTTTGACTCGTTTTCTAGTTGCTTTTCTAGCTGGTTCTCTAGCTAGTTTGGTAGAGATTCTCGTATTCGTCGCATAACCCAGCCCTAAGTGCCCAAATACGGAGATTTCTGGTATCTTAGCACAGCCAATAAAAGCACAGAGATTGTTAGAGCCAATCAGATCGCATTTCTTCGTCTACGAAACCCCTCTGGGGACCGACCGTAATATGCAGCTAAAGCTGCAACAAGGAAGCTCCCATGCTCTAGAGATAATCTGGGCTAGTACTTGTGACTAAATCAACGGGTTAGTGTGCCTTGTATTCGGGTGGTAAGCACGATCCGAGGGATTCTGTACGCCCTCGCGGCAGCTTGCTGTGAAGAGAGAACGCCAGCATCGGAACCGCGGACAGCGAATTGTCAAACTTCCTCATGGGTGTTCATTTCTATTGCATGGGTGCCGAGAAATCGTGTGGGTTGTGTGGATGGCCAGCTCCGTGAGTGGCGAGCTTATCGACTACGTAGGGTAGGCGGAGGCGGGGAGCAGCATGTACATGAGTCTCCCTTGTACACGCACCAAAATGCAAATGCATATAAATTTCGCATTCATCCAAGTAACTGTACAGGCCTATATCCGAACGTTCCCGGTACCAGATTCGACGGTGTTAGGGGATTTTGCTAAGCACTACTAAGTCATAAATTGTAGAAGACACCACAACGAATCTGCACAGAACTGATAAGGAGTCCTTTTCATCGATTTTATACATGTACTACCTTTTTACTCGAGACAAATCTAGGAAAACAGTCCAGTTGAAACTCCAACCTTCTTATATTTTTCAAAGAGACGTAACCAAAGTGCAGAGCTTTGCAGATACTTAAGACTCTAATCGCTGCCTCAGTAGTCTAAACATAAAATTAGAACACAAAGCTTTCCAATATTCAGTCCACGCGTCCCATGGGTATTGGATGTTTAGTTCATACCTGAGAAGCACCAAATCGGGAATCGTCGCATCCAATGGGATGTAGGCTAATTGGGGTTTCGGCAGTCTAATAGCTACTGGATTACTTGAGTGGTCTCAACCATCCAGTGTCAACCGCGAAACTAAGAGAGAAAAAATAGATAGCTTGCTTTCGTGTTTACTAACTAGAGACTATGCCAAGGAAGGTCAGATTGTGACTTACCTCTCTCTAGTCAACCCCGAGCTTTGCCACTCTTAACCCTAATTTCAATAAACCGGTCCCAAAAAACGAAGCCAGAACTTAATTACAATGTCTCAAATCCCTAAGTCCGCTTTCAATACTACTTCTTACCGCCTAAAAATAGTTGAGAGTTATCTAGAGTACGATGCGTAGGTCGCTACTAGAAAGCTGGACGAACTCGCCTATAAATTTAATCTTGAAGCACAATACCTCAACGATGGGTTCTACCTAGTCCTATTTTAAGTATTAGTAGCATAAATTATTGCATGCCAGGAAATATCAGGCCTTCGAGAGGCAATGGAAGGCGATAAGTTACAAGGCGGCGGGATCAACCTTCGCTGTACTAACGAAATCAATAACAGGATCAGTTATGCCGCAATAACAGCTTCTAGATGTGAAGGAGGCGGCTCCAGGGATGCCGAGGAATTCCATATAGATGAGGAGATGTAAGTACAAGAAGAAGAAGCTGGCCGGGTGGTCGGCGTGAGTTGAGAGCGTTAGTCTACCGTACATGATAGTGCATCCGTGCTAGAAGCCGATACTGATGCTAGCAAAGGATCGGCGAGAATGCACGAAGCGAGAGCGCAGTCATAACGAAGACACTGGTAGGTAATAGAAAGCAATTCCAAGCGACCAACCTTCCATCCCAAGCTATCACGAGATCTGTAACTAGATTTCCAGTCGTGCTTTAGCGTGACAAATGGGGTTTTGATGGTCGCACACGACCTTCATCATCGATTATCGATCATCGAGTCTTAGTCAGATGTGTGAAATATACTTCAGCTACCAAACTTGATGACGACAGGGGTGACGAGTCATCGGAACTTATCGGGTAATGGTAGTTCCATCTTCGGAATTTGATACAACCTCAAGACTGTTTTAGGGCTTATATCTGTATTGTAAAGGTCCACACGCCCAGACCTTATCCTCAACTTGGCTGTTTTTAAACCGTAATCGAAGATAACATTTCATATTGCAGATATTCACGCCTGTGATGCGTCCATATTCAACTCTTTGGGACATGCAACAGCATTTACGGGAACGTTATCGACAACGCGGGATCACATTCAGACGTGGCATTGTCGTGAGATGACAATCCACAACCCATGGTGGAATCGTTAGCGCCATGATGGTGGACTATGGAATATTCCGAAAATTGCAGAAAGCAAGAATATTCTAGCAAGGACTCTTCCATGGTAATCCTAGGTGATAGGCAGTGCCAAGCTTGGTGTTAGTGGCTTAGTCTCGGAGTGAGCACTGAAGCAGAGCATGGGACGGGAAGACTGCTTACATGTATGCATGTTGATGAGTGGTTACGCTTTTGGCCAATAAGATGGGATGAATTGGCGCTCGTGGAAAGTGTTGAGGGTGATTATGTTGAGGCATATGAGAATATGTAGTCAAAAGGCAATGCTCTTCATTACCTTCGACTCGAAGTGCCGCCACTCTAGGCTCTTACGCTACCATGAAGTCCTGGAACAGCCATCCCATCAATCAACGTTGGCTTCGAATTACGCTGTTTTCTTTTCCTCTTGTTTCAATATTTGTGTTCCTCGGTACGCAGAGTGAGATTTTACATCGGAGGTTGGATAAGATACCCTTACAAGATATTGTAGGAAACAAGGACTCCAAGTCTGCTGAAGAAAAATTGTTTTTCCTAGACACACCACTAATCCTGGATGGTTCGTCTGCTGAAGAGGAATCGGTTGATCTAGCACCATCGCCTGCTGTGGAGAAACCAGCTGTTCCCACATCATCGCCCGCCGAAGAGAAGCCGCTTGATGGACAACCGTGGAAAGGAAAGCCATTGGATGCAACACCGGAGGAAATAACTGTAGAGGAGACAACCGCACAAGAAAAACCGGCAGAGCCTACACCGCCTATACCAACGCCAGCGCCGTACAAGTTAGCAATAGAAGAATTAAGCGAGGACGTGAAGAAGTATGCATACTTGATCTTCATGACGCAAACCCTGAATGCAAGCGACGATCTAGAAAGGGACAATTACTTTATCACCGCCCGGATCCTTATGTGGCAGCTAGTGCACAATCCGAGCACGCGAACAAAGCATGATGTGATTGTCATGGTTACACCCAATGTGTCGCAGTCGAGACGGGGCCGGCTCAAAAGAGATGGCGCAATTGTGCACGCGGTCAACTTTCTCCATACACCAAATGGCGGATGGCTGAAGCCCTCAGTGCATCGCTGGGACGACGTCGTGACTAAAATGCGTGCGTGGGAACTGGTGCAATACGACAGAATCCTCATGCTTGACGCCGACTCGATGCTGTTGAAGACGCTGGATCTAGTGTTTGACGATCCGGCCGTTCATCTGCTTGCTACCAAACCCTCAAACACGACGACAAACACGACGTTGCCCTCAACCTACCTTGTCGCTTCCAATTCCGAAGCGTGGGACTCGACCCATTCGTTTCCTCTAACCTATGGTACGGGCCTGAAGAAGTCAGGACAGATGAACGCGGGCTTCGTCATACTGGCACCTTCACTCACTGCCTTTGAGTACTACAAGTCGCTTATGAATACACCTTATTCATTTGACCCAAAATATCCCGAGCAAAACCTCATCAACTATGCGCATCAATGGGACGGCCCCATGCCCTGGCGCGAACTGGCCTACACGTGGAACATCCGCTGTCCGAATGACCAGGATGTTGAAAAGGGTCTGTACAGTGTGCATGAAAAGTGGTGGGAGCATCCATACCTCTACGCGAATGAGAAGACAAAGCAGTGGATGTTGTCAAGAAGATGGGAGATGAAAGGATGGTATCACGCGTGGGACAAAGCGCATGAGGAAGGGGAATAGGAGGATAATTGTTTTCGTAGTCACTCCAACCACGCCCTTGTAGCAGCGCTTTCAACACTTTCACGGTTCTGGTGTCTTTTGGTATGCAATGTACGATTAGCGCAGTCTGGTGTCATTTCTGATCCAGCACATCACCACCACAAGTACCACCAACTCGCTTGTGTATAATGTATTAATATTAGAGCATAGAGCTTCCGGTGCCTGAGATTGTTTCTCTATCTAGTCTTGTACCTATTTACTTCCTTGCTCTACTACTTGCCGTGCAGAAATGTATGCTTGGGCACCCAGCTTACGAGCGGCCTACGCGTCTACAGGCCGCATATTGACCTGTAAGTGTTCGCTATAGTAATACGGCAAAAAGACATCCCGCCATAAGAGCGTTTCTGGCCTGTGTATGGTCAGTATATGACATGAAGATGGCCAAGTAAAAATGGAATGACTGGGTGAACGGCGGGAGACATACAGTTGCTTTGGGACAGTCATGACGAACTTGCGAAAGACGTGGGCGAATGCTAGGCGCAGTTCGGCCCATGCGAGGCTAGAGCATATTAGTTTTGGCCCTACGATCATGATAACAAATTTACGATTTGGATCAAACTTACTTGATACCCAAGCACATTCGCGGACCACGCGAGAAAGCAACCAGCCAGTTATCCAGCTCGGGTGTCTCGAGCCAGCGTTCAGGAACGAACTTGTCTGGTTCGGGGAATATGTCTGCATTGTAATGGACAAAGGTGCTACCACATGACACGATAGTCTGTTACACAATCAGCAGATAGTTTGTCGTAAGCTAGATTTGAGAATGTACGTACGCCTGGTGGCACGACCTTTCCTGTTATGGTTGCGCCGGTTGCAGGTACCACGCGCAGTAGGCCAGCAGTAACGCCGGACGAGAGTCTCAGCGATTCCTTGATGACAGCATTCAGGTATGGCAAGTCTTCCAACTCTTTTAGCGTAGGTTCGCCATTCTGCAGTGAAGGCCAATGTTCCAGGAGTTCCGTCTTGAGTTTTTGAAATTTAGTGGGGTCCTTTAGCAAATGGAAAGAGCCAACCATGAGAGTATTTCCGGTCGTATCTGCCCCTCCAAACATGAGCGCCTGCGTCTCCTCATACAAGCTGTCAGCAGAGGGAACCTTTTTGTCACGATGGGCTTCGGGATCCATCAGACGGTGAAAGACGGTCATATTGTGCGGAAGGAGTTTGAGTTTTTCAGGGTCATTGGTTAGGTCGTTGATCTGTTGCATGAGTAGCTACGAGGTTGTTAGCAGCGGAAATTAGTTATTCTTTTATTTTATCTTTTTCATTTTGTTTTGGTTTGGGTATTATAATCACGTAAAGGAAGGCAAAGAGGCACACCTGATTGAGGTCAATCAAACCCGCCGTCAAGGGGCTGAGAATCCTGGAGAGCTTCGGAGGACATTTCAAAATGAAGTTTTTGAAGAGATCAGAATACTTGAAGTAAAGGGAAACGGGAGTTGACGCGTCGAGGGCTACGACAATGGGAGCGTTGAAGTCTGGAGCGTCGACAGCATGGATGGGATTGCCAAAGCACAGGGTGGTGATAACATCGACGCTCATGCAGCGGAAGGCGTAGAAGAGGTCAGTGGGCTTAGAAGCTTTAGCTTGGCGCTCAAAGGCGGCACATAGAGCTTTGATCTTGTCGACACATAGGCCTTCTGCACTGCGAATGGCTGCTTGAGAGAAGGAAGGGTTCAGGACGTGCTTGCGGTCCTTGGCCTCGGCATAGGTGAGGAAGCCAAAGCTGGACCTGTCCTCATTAAAGCTCTTGTAGAGACGGGCCTCCTTGTCCCAGCGGTTCTTGTTGTTGTAAATGTCGTGGTAGGCTTGGGGGTTGGCAAAGTGGAGCTATTCGAAGCTTGTCAGCATTGCGGCACGGGGTGTGGGCGTAGGTGTAGATGCAAGTAATGAATGCTTGCTTGCCTCATTGGGGCCGACACGAACGATGTCGCCGTAGCGAGCATGCAGGTCGACTAGGTAGTGGCAAAAGGATCGGTTTGCGATGCATTCAATGTAGGCCTTCCAGTAGACGGTGGCGCCAGCTAGAGGCGGACCGGGGAAGCTGGCGAGTGGGTGCAGGTAGATGTTGTACGTCAGAACGGCCACGACATAGGCGGCCAGGGCGGCCAGGGCGGCCAGGGCGGCGGAGAGTAGTACCGCCGAGTCGGGTGCGTGGGAGAGTAGGGACATTGGCGTTGGTATGGTGCTGCGGGAAGAAGGAAGAAAGAAGGGCAACCAGTTAGTTGTACAACATTGTCAGTGCATTTTGGGCGTCTACCTTTCCTGATTGCGTCGCAGGCTCCATGACGTCTGGGCAGGAGGTCGAGTAGATTACGTGCGACAATGACCAACCAGAGCCATCAGCCGTCTGGTGTGGACAGAGCACTGTGCACATGGGAGCGATAGGCGAGAAAACGATTTGGGAGCCGCATCGCGAACGGGGAGCGGGGCGGTACTAGTCCAGTGTCAGGAATAAGCATGTCAGTTACATGGCGGGCGATATGAGTGGTGGTATCTAACTGTACTGTGTGATATTACTGGCGTGTGTGCAGGGGGAGGGGGAGTCGAGACTTTGGTGGGGTGGAGTGGAGTATGCGGTATGTAATATACGTAGATAGGGTATGGATGTATGGATGCGTTGAGTACATGTGAGCACGCCAAGGCCCACTTGCGGATGTAAACGTGCCGAGCCGTGTGAACGATTACCTGCTGGTCTGCCTGTGGCTTGGCTTTGTGTGTGTGTGTGGACTCACTGACTGTGTGTGTGTGGACTGACTGTGGACTGACTGGCTGGTGGGCTGGGTTGCACCTGCCTGATCAGAGAGGGCCAGAGGCGAGGCGAGGCGAGGTTTGGGCCATAGCACTCACTCCATTCCCCTCCCTCCCACAAACCCACCCACCCACACACACACATACTTACTGCACGCCGGCCTTCACTACCTGCATTATCCCCTACAATACCCCATTCAACGTTACCTTGCTTCCTGCCGCCCATGGCTGATATTGGTGCCCAAATCGCCCTTGTAAGCCGCCAGCTGCGTCTGTGCCCGTGCCTGTCCCGCTTCTGAGATTGACCCTCGCCTAGGACTCGGATGAGACAGATTCGGCCTTTGGTGATGACTCGGCTTCGTAAGTCTACACAATCATCCGTCATCCGTCAAGGAATAGCCGTCTCTAACCACACCCCTCACAGCGAAACAACATCGCTTAAGTCGGCTGTTATCAACTACAAGTACCGCAACGGCCGCCGCTATCATGCCTACAAGGAAGGCTCATATTGTGCGTTCACCTGCCCTGTCCTGTTCTACCCTACTGGTCCCACTCCTCTGCTTTACCCAAGTACTTTGCCTATTGACTGCTTGACAGGGGGCCCCAATGATGAGACACAGGCCGAGCAGCTTGACATTGTGTATGCACTGCACCCGCCCGTGACCATGTACCATCATGTTGACTGTACCGCCATAGCCATCACATATGTCTCCTCCTCCTCGATGGCGAGCTGCACATGGCCCCGTTGACTAAAGACCCAATGGTACGTCCCACCATGGCTGCCATGCTTGGACACCCATATTGACTCTTCGATCCCTTCTTCTAGCGTGTATTGGACTTGGGCACTGGCACTGGTATGCAACCACCAACAATCCACCTGACCGGTTGCCTCAGACTAACTTGACAGGAATATGGGCAATGTCAGTCTCTCGCCCACCCTCTGCCCCTCAAACTAACACAATCCACAGCGATTTTGCCGATAGATTCCCCTCGTGCGAGGTCCGTGTGCAATATCAACAAACATTCACCCCAGACTGTGCTCTAATTCCATGACATAGGTGCTAGGAACCGACCTCAGCCCCACACAACCCTCCATGATACCCCCCAACCTTCGCTTCGAGGTCGATGACTTCACTGAGCCTTGGCTATTCCGCAAAGAGAGTTTTGATCTCATTCACGCACGATCCCTCTTTGGCTGTGTCGCTGATTGGCCCAAGTTATACCAGGAAGCACTCGAGTATGTCGCCTTGGCTCGTTCCCACCTTTCTCTGCGCTGCTAATTCCATCCCCCCAGCCACCTCCAGCCCGGCGGTTGGTTTGAACAACTCGAAATGTCCGTTGTTCCCAAATCCGACGACGGCACCGTAGAACCTGGCTCCATCTTTGACAAGTGGGGCAAGATTTCGGTTGAACTCGGTGACAAGTTTGGAAAATCGTTGCGCACCGCCGACGAGGCCAAGGCTGGTATCGAGGCTGCCGGATTCATCAACGTCGTTGAACACCGCTGGAAACTGCCCATTGGTGGCTGGCCTGCTGACAAGCGCTTCAAGGAGCTTGGCCTTTACAACCGCATCAACTGGGAGCAAGGCATAGAAGGGTGGAGCCTCTATCTACTCACCACCATTATGAAATGGACCATTGAAGAAGTCCAAGTCTACTTGGCTCTGATGCGCCAGGCTTTGCGTGATCGACGCATCCACGCCTATCAAGAAGTGTCATTGGTCTATGGCCAAAAGCCGCCAAAGCCTTCAGCCCCTTCACCATGATGCGTCTGTTTTTAATGTAACTGTCCGTCTCATAGCGTGCGATATCCGACATGAATTCAAGATTTTGTCTATCTGACGATACGTTGCCGTGAGTGTGTGGCAGGCATGTGGAAGAAAATGAACAAGAAAGACCAAGAAAGAACAAGGGAAAAAGTAAAACGAAACACAACCTGTTGAAAGGCTTATGCGTCTGTGTCATGCAACGCAATATGCCCGCCCAGCCAGAGTGATGAACTCCCCACCCCCTGCAGAACGCCGGATCCCAAACACTAACGCCCCACGCTTTTATCTCCTGTTGATAAGGTTGAGAAACTCCTGGCGAGTCTTTTCCCGCGAACGCATGCAACCAAGCATACAGCTTGTAGTCGTTGTAGCACCCGTCTTCTGAACCCCGCGCATCACCATGCAAAGATGGCTTGACTCCACCACCACCGCAACCCCCTGTGGCTGCAGCATCTCGGAAAGAGCCAGCGCAACTTGCTTCGTCAGCCGCTCTTGCACTTGGAACCGGCGGGCAAACATTTCGGCAATACGTGCCAGCTTCGACAAGCCGATAACGCGACGGTTGGGGATGTAACCAATGTGCATCTAATGCCGGCAGTACAGTCAGTCAACATGTTCCTCCATCTAGCCAAATGATTTCAAGTCAGGGCAAAGCAACATGTGTACTCACTTTTCCGGTAAAGGGCACCAAGTGGTGCTCGCACAGCGAAAATATCTCAATGTCTCGTACAATCACCAGTTCGTCGTGGTCTTCATGAAAGACGGCTCCATTGACAATATCCCGCAGGTTCTCCTCGTAACCTTTGGTGAAGAAGAGCAGCGCCTTTGCGTACCTCTCGGGTGTGTCCAGCAGGCCCTCGCGATCAGGATCCTCGCCCAGACACTCGAGCATTGTCCGTACAGCGCCCGACAGCTTCTTCAGATTCTCGGCCTTCTCTTCGTCTGTCGCCTCCTTCCGATGCCGTGTGCCCTTGCTAGGCCAGCTAAGCCCGTCAAAATCAATCGTCGGATGTTGGGTATATGGGCTGTGGGCGCGGCTCGTCGCAAGCGGCGTTTGGACGACGGCGTCCTCGCTCTCGGATTCGTGCTCCATGTGGCCGTTGCTCATCTCAAGTCCGCTATTCGCACTGCCACCATTGTTGCTTACTGCAAAAGCCTTTGCGGGGAAATAACCAGTCGGCCCGTCGAAATCTACCACTTGCCGACCCCGGTTGGACGTCTCAATGGCATTGAAGAGATTTTCCCGTTCCTTCTTGTCGCGAGCCTCGGTCGTGAGTCTGAGCGGCGACCCTCCATTCACCATGTGTGTCGGCACAGCGGAATGTGGTTTGGTCGTGTCGGCGTCCATGATGGCGGGGGTGTGGGGGGATATCGTAACAAGGTTTCGTGATCGAACGATCGGGGCTTATATTTAGTATGTCGGTATACTTATGTAAGAGTATGACTAGATCGGACTTGGGGAAGAGAACAAGAGCGAGGGCAAAGTTGCCAAAAGATGAGAAACGGTCCAGTAATACATGGTTCCTACAAATTCCTAGTCGCGCCGGTCCATATGACTGCATGGGAATAACTTTGTCCTAACGCCGGCGAAATGCGGCTTAGCGTGCCATGACCTGACGCCACACTACATACTACTGGATGCGCACGTGATGCGAACCAGAGCGGACTGCAGGCAGACCAGGAGGGAACGCCCGGCTCTCTTGCTCTGCTGCACTCCGACAACACCCCTTCTACCCACCCCACCCTCCCCCGTCAATACACTCCGCCCGCAACCACACATGCTCATCACTCTTTTGGCTGGCGCTTTTCTTCTCTATTTTTGATGGTGCAGCGATGACGGCGATAACAACGATTGCTGTGGTTACAATGAGGGGCAGACGGTGAAGATGAGGTGGTTGGCGATACCTGGCGCCCTCCCAGGCAGGTTTTGGCATGTCTCGCAACTTTACTCCGCAGTCCCATCTTACCGCCATTTCCAGCAACAGAAGATGCGCGCGTGCCTTTCCGCCCACAGTACATCGCAAAGCAGGCGGCAACACTACCGGCTTGCGCCTATCGCGGTAGGACTGAAGACGCTATCATATGTGCTGCTACTACTATACTAGGTGAGGGTCCACGAAGTGTCCTTGGACGCGCCCTCATTGCACCACCACTCTAGGGAGTCACTTACCCGCCGCGCATCATCGCATAACTAGTTACTAATTCTTCTCCATGTCGCGCCTCTGATGTATACTGCATCACTATCGGTGAATAGGTGGGAAGGTCAATAACTGTCAGCCGTTGTCGCCTATCGGTCACGGCTGTGTGTGTCCCCGCAACCGCCCATCACTCAGCTTCGCATGTCTCAGCCGTGTGCTCGGAATGTTGTCGTTGGGGCGGAGGGTTTGTTGGTTTTCCGACTCCTTCGGTCACGATATATGGAAGATGGTCTTGTTAGGAATCTCCTCTTGGTAAAGCGAGTCGGCTGCGACTATACTCAGTGGCCTTAAGCCGCATGTTGCTGTCTGTCGGATCATGGCGCATTCGCCCTACACCTGTTTGTTGCTCCTGCTCCATGGTTCCTCGTGGACATGAGCATATGCTGCATTCCCTCCCGTAGTGGACTGCCTCGCTCGCATGAGCCCACGATATTCAACATCGGACAAGATCCACGGCCCAGCGGATATCAACTCAGCTTTCGTTTTGACCATCCGCGGAAATCCAACCCCCCTCGGTTCGCGTGTGGGCGCTTGCTAACACGTATATTCCGGTTGGAAGCCCTCAAACCGTCTTTGAATCCTACACGGGATGAAGGAACTGCCTTCTGTGAAGGCTTCGCAGTATGGATTTTCTGCCATGAGTCGGTTGTGTCGCTTTTGCATGCAGTAGATAGTTGTCGTGAAGCCTGACGGCCTGCCCTTGATGCACAGCAACCAGAAGACGGAAAGTAGACAGACACCCCGGAAGACGGCCGTGGACAGCACGCAGCACAAAAGCACACTAGGACTTGAGACTGAAGGGACGGGGTTTGGGTTTGGATGGGGATGCGCCCTTTGGAGGAGGGCCTCCTTGTCACGAGGCCTTGGCGTCATCGATAGCGGCAAGCGAAAGGACCGGCCGGTGCAAAGGCACTGCAACAGTAGCGTCTGCAGCCACGAACAGCATCATTCAGAAGCGCACTGACATCAGGCAGCGCATTCCGGCTTGTCTCTCGGATCAGTTGCAGTGGCATCTCTTTTTCTTTTCTCTCTCACTATCTGATCATCGGCTGGGGGGTTCGGAGATAGAGTTCCCTCCTGCTCGGCTAGGCTGTCGCTCTGACCCGCGAATCTTTTGATGCTGCAGCCTTGCGACTTCTAATGATCCTCTTGCCTCTATGGCTGCCCTGCGACGGGCTCAGGATATAGACGAGCGGAGAACTGAGGCATCGCCTGACCGAGGTAGGGAACGTCTCAAAGACCGTCACCGTGACCGTAGCTACGACCCTCGGACATCGTCACCAGCACCACAGGCGGGCAGACATCATTCCAGGCATCGCGCCCACGACCACGACGCCCGCTCATCAGGCAAACACGGGCGAGGCCATTCGCGCGATAAAAGCCTCGGCAGGGACCGCACGCGTCGGCGAAGTCGGAGCGCCTCCAAGGAGGATCGCTATCGAGGCTCAGAGAGGGAAGCCAGTGCAGACAGGGTTGCCCACCCCCATCGTCGACACCACCACCACCATCACCATCACCATCACCGCCACGACACGACGCCATCCTCGAAACACTACCACAGTCGCTCCCCATCCCCTAGGCCATCATCCAAACGCGTAAAACGCCCGCGGAGTCGCAGCACAGTGCGCTCCAGGTCGCCAACACGACGTGCAGATTCCTCAGGCCGGCCGTCGACAAGAGCATACTCGCCTCGCCCTCATACCTCTGACCGTGATCGGCTGCCTCGACGAAACACTCCCGACAGGCACCTCCCGCCCGCTTCACACAGGCGTCAGTCGCCATCCGTGGATACCTACTACAGACCAGCAACACAACGTGCACGGAAGAGATCGGTTTCGCCCGATAGAAGGTCCAGGCGTGAATTTTCGCCGAGGGCATTGTTCCCGAGGCGGACTCACAGGAGGGCCACACCGCCCTTGGATCATTCTCGTGAAAGGCCCTACAAACCCAGTTCTATTCGTGGTCGAACAAGAAGTCGCAGCCGAGCACCGAGACGCGTCAGGTCTCGCTCGCCTCCTCACAGACGGTCCCCAACACCTGCTCGCAAAAGTTCGCCCCCCAGCTCCAAACGAGCTAGGACTCCATCACGCAGAAGCCGATCACCTCCCATACCCATACGACGTCGTCAATCTCGCTCACCCTCTCGAGGGTCCAAGTCGAGACACCCTACTAAGCACATTTCACGCAGAAGCTCACCGGTATCTGGATCTGGCTACAATTCGGATACGTCCAAGGGTCGTAGAGACGACGACAAGATGAGAGGAGCCTACCATTACCAAGGCCGTGGCGGTTTTCAGCAATCTCCGCCTTATCCTTCCCATAATCAATACTCTCCTCAAAATCAGTCACCCTACCACAGTGGCAGAGGGGGTTGGAGCAACCAGCCCTATCCAAATCACGGGTAAGTTACATTCAACATCTGCTCACTTTGTGCTGACTTTGATAGTTCTCCTCCACATGGCTACACTTCAGGCCAATCTCCATATCATCAAAGTCAGTCCCCTGGCTACTACCAAAACCAGTCGTATCCTCAATCTGGTTTTCAACCCAGTTCACATCGGGGTGGACACGGTGGCTTTCGCGGTAACAGCTTTCACGGTTCCGATCGGCGAATATCAGGCCCTGCCGGAGGTGCTCCCTTTAGTGGGCCTGGTGGCCGGGGTCGAGGCGCTGCGCCTACCCAATTTTCGAATCTCTCATGGACACCCGCGTCTGGAACACGAGGCGGCCGTCCCGCCACCGAGGCGCCACGCCCACAACCTGTTCCCACCTCACAGACGGTAGTTGATTCCACATCTGTCGACGCTGATGACAATCCTTTCCGCCCTTCGAAAGATCTAAGGGTAGAGGATGAGGGCTCAAAAGAAGAGCAAAAATCTGCTCCTCCGGCCAAGTCTTCTGCTGCGCTCCCAACAGCAACGAAGTCGGGATTCGGGTTCTCACTCAAGACAAAGAACCCGGTGCCCCCAGCAAGCAAAGCAAAATTGGGGCTGGAGGAGCCTGAGAAAGCCGAGCAAGCGTCGAAAGAGTCACTACTCGATCCAAAAGCAAAAGTTGAAGCAGCACGCGACGTTGCCCCCCCGTATGCTGAGTCAAGAAGTGATCGAGACAGAGATCCAAGAGAGAGGGATTACGATCATAGCCGGGAGCGAGACCTCAGGGAGCGAGACCTCAGGGAGCGAGACATCAGGGAGCGAGACATCAGGGAACGAGACCGTCGCTACGATAACTATTACGACCGCAAACCAATCTATCGAGATCCTCGCGAACGAGATCCTCGAGACATCAGAGATTCCCGTGATCCCTATTATCGTGGTAGGGAAAGGGATTTCCGAGACCCGCGCGACCGAGACTTCAGGGACCCTCGGGATGTTCGAGACGGGCGTGATATTCGGGAAAGGGATTCGCGGGACTTGCGAGACCCAAGGGATATACGAGACCCAAGGGATGTACGAGACATAAGGGACCGCCGGGAGCCGTACTTTCCACGAAGGCATGATGACAGGCGGCCAGACACACGCCCTATTGCTCGACCAGAACGAAGGACGCCGCCCCCTCAAATACCAAAAACCAAGACAATTACAAAGAAGCGAGAAAAGCCACGACCTACACTAGCCCCAGAGCATGCAACCTCGGAATCGGTGTACTACAGGAAACCTGGCAATGAGTCAGTGGTCGGATCAGGCACGTATGGAAAGGTCTTCAAAGGAGTGCATGTCTACACAAAGGATATGGTTGCACTAAAGAAGATTCGTATGGAAGGCGAACGCGATGGCGTATGTATTCCTTGTGAACATACGCAAGATATTTTGCTAACAAATTGCAGTTTCCAGTCACCGCCATTCGCGAGGTTAAACTGTTGCAGTCTCTCAACCATCCCAACATTGTCAACCTCCGTGAGGTAATGGTAGAGAAGAATGACTGCTACATGGTTTTCGAATACCTTTCCCACGATTTGACCGGTCTTTTAAACCATCCCACATTTAAACTTGAAACATCGCACAAGAAAGACCTTGCAAAGCAACTGTTCGAAGGTCTTGATTATCTCCATCGACGTGGGGTTTTGCATCGCGACATTAAGGCGGCCAACATTCTCGTGTCTAATACCGGACAACTAAAACTAGCTGATTTTGGTCTCGCCCGTTTCTACTCGAAGAGTGGCAAGCTGGATTACACCAACCGCGTCATCACCATCTGGTACCGATCCCCGGAATTGTTACTTGGAGAAACGCAATATGGCCCAGCAGTCGATATCTGGTCAGCAGCATGCGTACTTGTGGAGATATTCACGCGACACGCCATTTTCCCGGGTGATGGCGGAGAAATCAATCAGCTTGAAAAGATCTACAACGTCCTTGGTACGCCAACAGTACAGGATTGGCCTGGCATCGTGGACATGCAGTGGTTTGAGCTTCTGCGACCAACCGAACGCAAGAAGTCTACGTTTGCAGAAAAGTACAAGGATCGTGTCAGTCCTATGGCTTTCGAGCTGCTTCAGGCAATGTTCCTGTTTGACCCAAATGCACGGCCGGCGGCGGCCGACGTGCTGGAGCATCCCTTTTTCACCAGCGAAGCCCCTGCGCCAAAACGAGCCGAGGCGTTGAAAGAACTTGAAGGGGATTGGCATGAATTCGAAAGCAAAGCACTTCGGAAAGAAAAGGAGAAGCAGGAAAAGGAGGCCCGGCGGGCTGCTCGCGAGGAAAAAGACAATGCAAGAAAGGATGAGGGCAAGCGACGAGCGGATGCAGCTGTGGGTGAAGAGAGAGACGCTAAGCGTGCGAAAAGTGGAGATGTCACAGCATAGTATGCCAGGTATTCATGTTTTTGAGGGCACTGCTGATACCATGGACGACGGTGATAATGTTTGTACTATTGATTAGAGATCTTTTTTCTATATGCTCTTAGATGCGTACGTACGGGTACCGAGTCTATGAAATATGTATGCATGGCCATGTAGCTAGATCTTCCTAAAGACTGGATACTGGTCACCAACCTCCATTGGCAGCAATCCAAAAGAAACATAAGAGTCAATATTCTCTGGCTCGAGAGCTACAAAGGCCAAGCCCGCATTCTTCTGGGCGGCACTGATGAAGAAGCTGCCAGCTGGCAACGAAACCTGCTGCACAGAACTCTCGGTAGTCACCGTGTTCAAGATTGCTCCCTCGTAATACGACGAAGCAAACTTTGAAGAAGTGATGTTGTAGACCTGGACCTCTCCCTGAAATGCCTCTGGCATGGTCTCGACGTCCAAGCCAGAGACCCTCAAGCGCTCAGCGAGATCAGCCCATGCACGGGGGATGATGTAGCCCTGAGGCCTCGCACGGGTGAGGTTAGCCGTTGCCGGGGTATTGCTTGCGAATTCGACAGGCAGCTGAACGACTTCTCCCGTGCGGCGATCGACCATTGTAAACGTACGATTGGCGTAGTTGGGGTAGTCGGTAACCACAATATCTTGGTTGCTTGCCGCAAAATCCGCTATAGCATTGTCCATTGTGCTCTTGACCTGATCGGCATTGTCTCTTGCTGCTTCGAGCACACCGAGAATCATCTGCAGACCCGTCAGGGTCCTGCGCTTGAACTGCTGGTTCGCAATGCCGATGCCCCTCGTCTCGAAAAGAAACGTGATGCACTGCGTCAGACCCATGGCGTTGCGCCCAATCTTTGCGTCGGTGCCGGCTTCGACTAGGCGTGGTGGGTTGCGGCTCGAAGCTGTTATGTACTGCTCGCCGCGCAAGCCCCGAGAGATGAGCGATGCGTTGATGGCTGGTGCAAAAAGCGTCTCCGAGAGCTCGCGGATCTCGGGATGTATATTGAGGTTCTTGGCGCTCGAATACATGGCATCGGCTGCGTTGCTGTAGTGGGTCGAATAGAGTGTCGCTGCGCCGTATTCGTGCAAGTCAATGGCAATGGTGGGTGAAAAGGTGCTGAACCATTCTTTGATATCGCGGGTCTGCTGGCGAGCGAGTTTGGTGTGATCGCGGTTTGGATCAAAGTTGGTGGCCAAGGTACGTTGAAAATAGGCATTGCCGTCTGGGTTGTAACGCGGTAATACGAGAATGTCCATTTCTTCTAGCAAGGTAGCGGCCCATGCTGGGTCGTTGTCCATGGCCCCGAGTAAGGCGAGTGCAGCTTCATCGCCAGCGGGTTCGTTGCCATGAACTGAGCCTTGGATCCAGACTCTGAGCTTTTCTGACGTCGTGTTTGATGCGGATGACGCCGAGAGTAGGACGTAGGGAAATGTTTTGCCTTCTTCGCTGAGGAAATCGGCGACTTGGTACTTCATCCATGAAGGGTTCTTTGCAGCAAGACCGCTGATGAATCTTTCTGTGCAAATATTAGAATGAGCAGTTGTAGAACAGCAAGTGGGATTTGTGTACCCAATTGATCGGGTGAGGTGCCCCCCTCGGTGCCCTCGAACCATCCAGGATCAAAAGTGGCATTGGACATGAAGGCAGGACTGTAGAGCGTCACATTGGGCGCTGGGAATGCCGCCTGCTCTACAAGCTGCGAATCGAAGCTTACGACGCCATGGTTTTCCCCGTATTGGGTTTGCGCCAACGCGTATGCTGCGAACAGCAAGATGGTAGAAGACTGCCTCATCCTCGCCGTGTCACCTGGGATGGGGATAGAGACACCAAAACCCAAATTGCGCACAGAACACTCTTATTCCATATTTCTTTCCTCTCTTTCCCCATTTTTCCACGATAGGCGATACGTCAGTCAAGACGCGCATTTTGCCTGTTGGAGTACTTGCCAAGAGAACAACCCTTGGCGGCAGTTGCTCCTGCCATATTCGGCAACGTATCGCTTGTCGAGGCCTCTAGCCTATGGTTGTTATCGTCCAGTACCGGCTCATGGTCGGTTGGGCAAAGATACTGATACTGTTGTTGAGGTTGTAGTCGTCGTGTTTGAGCAGGTCGTTAGTTGAGTCGTACAAGGCGAAAGGGAAGAAAGAAGTGACGGGATACTAGTACTAGTACATCGTACTACGTACTAAGTATGGACATTACTACTAGTTCAACAATCTGCTAATGCGTTGATTTATTATCCACAAGAAGAGGATATCCGTTCGCATATTTCTATGCTGGAAAGCACCTGCCCTCGTATATCTTCTATCGATCCTCTACTCTCCTTGTTGCGACTTTTATACACGAGAATCAGATCCGACTTGCTTTTGTTGCTACAACAAGGCATGAACATACATACATACATACATACATACATAATAACGAGCATAGTACTCGGCTTCATTCCCGAATACCTGCATTCCAAAACAGGTAACTTACCCATCCACGTGCACACCTTCCCCGGCTTCCCCACCTCGTGTCAATAATACCCCGAAAATCCGGTATTGATGCATCGAGTTAGCTGGACCAACTAGCGGCACTGTATTGACCAGATGATGCATTGTGCTCCGAATTAATACCTTGTACCCAGTCAAATCGATATATTGCTATGCTCATATTAAACATCGCATAAGTTGCAAGATTGCGCCGCTATTGTAGCGCCCACCTGCGTGATCATGAAGCTCTTTTCATCCCTACTGGCTTTGGTAGGGCTCTCCTCCTTTACATCTGCCCTTTCGGTTACCTCGGTGAAGAACTGGAACATTACAGATGATGTGCAGGGGTCAGTGCGTCTCAATGGTCTTGCTTTCCAACAACACGCCTTGACGACATTTGGAGACTACCAGTATGTAGCCTTCTACAAGACAGCCTCTGGATACGGCAAACATTATGTCAATCTTGGACGGCGAAAAATCTCACCTTCGCTTGGCGACTGGCAGTACTTTGCCTTCAGCGACTACGAACAGACGACACTCGATGAGCACAACACTATTTCCGTGGGCATCAGCGGCGATGGAAAGATACATTTAAGTTTTGACCACCATGACGTTCCGCTCAATTATCGTGTGAGCAAAGCTGGCATCGCTAAGACTGTTCCTTCTGAATGGACGGCAAGCGCTTTTGGAGCTGTGCAACACAATCTGCCAGGTTCCACCGGCCCATGGACACCGCTGACTTACCCTCGCTTCGAGTCTATCGATGGTGGCGACCTCTTGATGGAGTTCCGGATAGGCCAATCTGGCGCGGGAGACTCATACATCCACCGCTATTCTGCCACTACTGGGAAGTGGACCGCCGTCGGAAAGTACTTGCAGGGCGAGGACAACAATGCCTACATTAATGGTATCAGTAGCGAAGGAGGGAAACTGTTCGTTTCATGGACGGTCCGTGAAACTCCCGATGCCAGCACGAACCACGACTTTTACTTTGCCTTCTCGGAGGATGCTGGCAAATCTTGGAAGCAAACCAACGGCCAAACAGTCGCGGTTCCCATTAAGCCTTCAACACCTGGAGTCAAGGTCTACTCGATCCCGCAGAACAGCCAAATTATCAACCAGGAAGCGCAATTTGTAGACCGTCAGGGTCGCTTCCACGCATTAATGCGCGATAACTCAACAGGCACACCGCGGTTTTACCATTACCTGCGAACACCAGCTGGCAAATTTACCAAGACTGTCATCAATGCACCTGGTCTTTCTACACCACCGTACCTTGCCTACCGCGGCAAGATTGTTGCTACTAGCGATAGTGTAATTGCAATTCTCCCGGACCAGCCAAAGATGACGATTCAGCTCTGGGCCGCGACCGCGGGCGCAAATTACAACGACTGGAAGAAGATAGCAGACATTCCAAACTCTGCTGGCGAACCCTTGGTCGATGAGGCTAGGCTTAAGAACTTTAACGTTCTAAGCTTATTTGTAAGACAGGGTGGACCTTTCCCCACCCGCAAAGTCCAGGTCTGGGATTTTGGTCTTGCCAACTGAGAACACCAACAGTTTAGAGTATTCCAGAATCGTAGTATACGAAAAAGCTTAATGAAAAACAATATGCTTCCAAAGATCTATTCTTCCAAGTCCACGAAATGCCATGATATGCGACCTCATTCTGCTTGGTGCAAAGCTTATGTTGGGAACTTGGGTGGCAAAACGTTGGATGACCTAGATATCTCTATTCTCGAGTCATCTATTTACATGTGTTCATGCGGCTGATTGTGAAAGGCACGTCTCGGTCATCTTCATATAACTAGCGTTTAGTCAAATTATGGTATCGTATCTGCCTTCCACAATCCTTGGTCCAACCGACAGTCATCCCATGATGTCGAGGCCTTGTCAGGTTCTAACAGTTTCGCCAAAATTCTTCTCTAAATATAGCAAAACGGCTGCGGCAAGAATCTGGTCGTTGTGCAGGTGGTAAATATAATGATACTGTGAGGTGTACACTAATGAAACGATACCCGCATGTCGATGGGTACCACGACTGATATGAATATCACTCTCTATGCATGCATGTCATGTAGAGTATCAAAATGCAATATAAAGACGTGCCATTTTCCTGTGGTTTTTCAAGTCTTTCCCACAGGAGTTCTACCATGTGGTCGGTAATACAGTTGCGCATACATACTAACTACGTGATCATCTGCACTTTTCGCACCGCGCTGTTGGAACGCATAGTCGGAAAAATGTGCTGATTCGAGCGAGTTAGACTAGGAGTAAGACAGCGCGAATTCCTCCGGTGCAATGGTTTGGACCTGTCACCTGCACTTGATGATGGTTAGCCAAGATAACAGCAGCCGGGAACTACGGTATAACCTCGGCTTCTTCCGCTTCCACACCCCAATTTGCAATTTAAACGTTCGGAGTGCGGATGCAATACCTGTTACTGTCATGATCTGCATTATTTAGGACGTCAAGTGTCGAATCTAGTCATGACCAAGGCGGAAGGTGCTGCAAGCGGAAGAATTGGATAGTTCATTATTCCGACCTATGGATGTCAATAACCAGGAGGAGAAGAGTTTATTGCGTCACACTACACAGATGCATGGATCTCCAAGACTTATTACCAAGTACTGATTCGTTTACGCTAGCCGTTTAAGTCGACACTTGCCTTCGAAGAGTAACGGAGATGAGTTCAGTGCCTTCTCGTATACGACATGATCGGCAGTGCAACACCTCCCGCTAGTGCTGAGCACTAATTGAACCTATTCACAGGCACAACCCCTCTTTCCTGACACCATCACGCATCAACGGCCTTATGTACATCCTCGGAACGGATGGAAGTGGGTTTAGACCGGCCTTCTATACTCGAAACAAGGCTATGGCTAGGATTGTATACCTCCATGTATTTACATAAGAAGTGGCCGATGGAGCCACTATGTTCCCGACCTTCAACTCTAGTACCTTTTGGTTTCCGTCACCATGCGCGCTCCTACTCTTATTGAGATAGCACTCGTGCTTGCGAGCGGCCTTTGCGTCAACGCCGATTTGACGACAACCATCAACCCCAAATCAAACTGGGGAATCTGGGAAGGATGGGGAACGTCGCTGGCCTGGTGGGCTCAGCAATTCGGCGACCGAGACGATTTGGCAGATATATTCTTCACGCTCAAGCAGACCAAATTCGGCAGTGTTACATTGCCAGGTCTTGGCTTCAATCATGCTCGCTACAACGCCGGTGCATGTAGTTGGAACACTATTGGCACAGAGAAGATGGTCGTATCACCCAACATCAAGAGATCAAGGCAAATGGAAGGATTCTGGTTGGATTGGACGAGCTCTGACCCAAATTCTGCCAGTTGGAACTGGTGAGACAACACTTCATAGTCTTTTGACGTGCTTCACTAAGTTTGGTTGCCGGAATACAGGAATGTAGATGTCAATCAACGAAAGGCCCTTCAAAAGGCTATTGAGAGGGGTGTCGAAAAGACCGAACTCTTCAGCAACAGCCCAATGTGGTGGCAAACACGCAACCACAACCCATCCGGAGCCAGCGACGGATCTGAAAACATCCAATCATGGAATCTGGAGCAGCATGCCGTGTACATGGCAACAGTTGCTCAAGTCTTCAAGTCCAAATGGGGCATTGAATTCGAGACTGTTGACCCATTTAATGAGCCCACGGCTAACTGGTGGAAGGCCGATGGCACACAGGAGGGATGTCACATTGACGTAGCCACCCAGGCTACGATTATTGGGCATCTTGAGAAGCATCTGAAAAGCCGCTCATTGGCGACTGTGATTGCGGCATCAGATGAGTCTTATTATGACCAGGCCCGCGACAACCTCAAGAACATAGGAAGCAGCGCGCTTTCCAAGATTGCACGTGTCAACGTACACGGCTACCAGTATGGAAAAGGTGACCGTGTTGCTGTCCACGATCTAGCTGCAAAGGCCGGCAAGCCACTCTACAACAGCGAGTATGGTGATGGTGAAGCGGCCGGCCAACAAATGGCAAGCAACCTGCTGCTCGATTTTCGATGGCTCAAGCCCGTAGCCTGGGAGTACTGGCAAGTCCTTGACCAAGGTGGCTGGGGCCTGATTGACGCCGACAACGATGCCAAGACAGTGGGAGGTCCAACGCAAAAGTACTTTGTCCTCGCTCAGTTTGCCAGGCATATTCGCCCAGGCATGCAGATTCTCGATGGTGGTAGTGACTATACCGTCGCCGCATACGACGCCAGTAAATCCACTCTAGTCATCGTAGCGGTCAACTGGGGCAATGCGCAGTACCTCAACTTTGACTTGTCGGGCTTCTCGCAGCGTCCAGCCAACGGCGCAGCAGTGACTCGCTGGGCTACCCAGATCGGTACCGGTGAACAGTATGGAAAGCATAGCGACACTGTCATTAACGGAACTAAGTTTTGGTCTTACTTTGGAAAGAATGTCGTCCAGACGTTCGAGATTACGGGCATCAAGCTGTAGAGCGTAGTATGCTCCATGCGCTATGAAATAAATAAAAACTGTTTGTTTTTCAGAACTTGGTGTATTCGAGTATCTTGCTGCCCTATGAACACCCCGATGACATGATATTTGAGGGTATCTCATCCAATTCTTTGCTTTCTCCTTACCCATACTTCGTCACCGTCAGCACCAGCTCTTTGTTGGACTTCCCAAACTTGAAGTTTGTAACTGCCACGATCGGACCGTCCCGTATGTAGATCAAATGACCAGTCGTGTTTAGGGCATTGAATTCCCGAGCTTAGCACCACTCCAAAGTCCTCTATATCAAAGGGTGCGCCGTTGGAAAGAGGGTATGAAGAGTGTGGGCATTCCTGCGGATGTCGTGGTCAACATAGAGGCTGAGTTACGATTTTTTCTTTTGTTTTGCCACCTACGTGGTTCACGGCAACAAATTTTCCCTTGTACTGAAATACCATGACCTGATCTTTTGCATTGCCACCCAGATCGGGATCCTTCCAATCATCAATAGAGATCTCTGTCGCTTTGGAGCTGTCATCTTGAGGCACGTGAAATACCCGACAGCCAGATACAAATTTTCCGCCGCACGGCCGTTGCTCGCTGACTCGCATGGAGTCATCGAGATTTGGATATGACGACGCTAAACCAGCGAGAAACCAAGCATTTTGCGCTCTGGATGTGCGGACGAACGGGTTGGCGAGGAATGACATTGCCACTGGTAGCAAGGGTCCGGGACAGGGGGCTGAGTAGTGATGGAAGTGGAGGCGCCCTGGAACACGTGGAAGAGACGAGCGTTGGATGCTCAAACCCCTGTCTAGGTTGGATGACAGCAACATTAAAAGGGCCATCCATGTCGCGCATCACAATACAACATCTGCGATATGAAAGAGAGATGCGCTCTGACACGTGGGACGTGTTAATAGACTGTGAGTAAGTATGTAGAGATAGTAGATAAGGGGGGCTATAGTACTGGAAATGCCGAATGAATACTTCTTGGTATCATCAATCAGCACGCAACATTCTCTCTTCTTGCCATGTATAGCGCAATCACATTCTTTCTCGGCCTCACCATGATGCATTCTTCCACTATGATTATTTACTGTCTAGGCAAACAAGAACCCACCACCTCGACACAAGACTCAGCCTCGCACTCGTTAGCAGGATCTGCAGATGCAGCTAGCCGAAGTCAATCATTCCTCTGCCGGAGCTTCCCCGACCGCATATCTCGGCAGACCATCCTTGTACCGCCTCTTTTGCAGGTCGCGCACTAGACCCAGATCAACCAGTTTCTGGTAACAATTCAACCCCTAACTGATACCATGGCCTGCAGACGCATGATATGGTGGCAGAGTTCCAGGGCCTCGCACGAGTGATGGTGACAAAGAAAGGGGCCCTGGTGTGCGCTAGAGGGATGTGACAACACACACTAACTTCATGCTGCCTGAGTCGCTAAAGTGTAAGAAAAAATTTGTCCATACATACATATGTATGTATGTATGTATGTATGTATGTAAGCTTGAATCCGAGAATTCGGCGACATGGGACTCATCCGTTCTGGGTAGAAACAGCAATGTACGAAAGGAGTTCTACCAAACCTGCACCGAATTCGCATAGCAAATGGGTAACCAAAGTGATTAGCCCTGTCTGCCAATTAGATGCCCATATGGATCTAGGTCAAAGTATACTATGTGGTGGAGTCGCGTCATCGGGGCCCTCATTACTGCATCTGGCCTCTAGTGCCATCTCCTATCTCGTGTTCAGGTTTTGATTGCGGGGCATCCTCGCCGATCCCCCATTGTGTTAACAGCTTTTTTGCGGCTTTGGCACTTCTCATTTTTGTTCTATTATCATTCTTGCGTACTTACATTGGCTCAATCCTGCGCCGCCCGCTGCGCTATCGTCGTACTCGTGCTTGTGGCTGCAGGCTGTCTTGTCGCCTTGCTTCTTCTATTTTTTTTCTTTCTTTGCTATTTGATTTTCTAATTTAAATAAGCCCTTTGTGCGATACGAGCATGATGCCGTCGTGGTGGCCCGAAACACGGCTGGAATGGATCTTTTCCGCAGCTGCAGCGACTCAAGGAGTCGTCAATACCATCATTCAGATGTATGCTTAGATATCTTAGACAGGCCTGTTCTACTAAGATGTTTGGTTTTTCTTACTAATGCGTATGCTAGGGTCATTCTAGTCGTCTATCTACAATGGGTCAATAAACCAATATACGAGGTACTACTCCGCAACTAGTCGATTGAGCATTACTGATTGTTGCCCAGGTCCCATTATCCTACGTTATATCCTTAATTCTTTCCATCAACACCCTTGGCTGTCTCTATCAATTGGTTCTGACACTAGACGCATATCGCATTAAAAATCACATTCAGATCTTTATGCTATGTGTCGCTAATGTGTGCCTTTCAGTTGCGACCATATTGCAATATGGAGAGGTACACAATGCGTCGGCGAGAGCCGCTGTTGGCGTCAATGGAATGAACCTTCCTTTCGTGAAGAGGGACTGGGAATTCTGGAGGCGTGTGTCGCCCGGTTTGGTTGTCTGCGCTGTTGTTAGCTGTACTTGCAGCACTGTCATGTGCTTCGTCGCTGTGAAGCTCTATCGTGAATTCGCGTGGGCTTTGTATCAAGACGTCAGTCCAGACATGACCATACAATGGAAGTACATGTGCTACCAAGTTCGTATCAGTGTCTACATATCAACGCAATCGTTCCCTTGCTGACCGTTGTACAGATCTACCTAGGTTTTCTCAAGTACACACCGTATTTCGTCTTTGCCTTCATATTGATCTACGGCTTGATAAACGTGCACTATATTGAGCCAGAATTCTCTTTGACCATGGCTATCATCCCTGCCACACTTCTACATTTGGCTCTGGCCGTGTACTTTGTTCGACATGAAATCCGCATCTGCATGATCTTGGTCTTGGTAAGCCTAGTCTCTTTAACTAATACCAGTGACTGACTAACTCGGCCAAGCTCTTCCATGTGGCTAATATTGCCTACGTTATCAGCCGATTGTTGGTCTTGTATGGTCATGGGCTACTATCCAAGACGATGATGAAGGATGAGATGGTTTTCTATCTTTGCATAGCTGGCGCACTCTCTTTATTTTCGCTAGTCGCTGGAAGTGTTTGCATGTTTAACTTCAAGAAAGGGCTGAAGCATATTCTACTTGGGCAAATAAAACGCCGACCTCAGGCGCATGAGCTTGAAGATGACTATTACATCCAACGGCTCAACTACAACATTGTGCCGACGCCAGATCGGGATTCACAACGTTTCTTGGTAGATTGAGGTATGGGGGTTTTTTCTTTTGAAAAAAACATTGGAGTGTCAACAAAAAGTAAACTCAAGCACAAACACTTTCATCTGAACCGATTTTGTTTTAGAGAATGAAAGACTATTTATGCATATCACCAAGCATCCAGAAGTATAGACTGGGACGATATAAATATTCTGAATAATAATCAATCCTTGGCATGAATTCTTGTACGTATATTCAATACATGAATGTTGTACGAAACACGCGTCCTGCTTATCCCACTCTTTGCCGCCTAGTAGGTGGCCCACTTGCTAAACCAATTGAGAATATATGGTGCAGCGTCCCACTTGGTCGATCCGCCGCTCATTGAGTCGAACGGCTCGCCCTGTTCAACCCTGCTCGGCCAGCCATGGCCATAGCCCTTGACCTCCCTGTGCAGCACCAGATCTTTGTGGCCATTACATTTCCACTTAAGATCTGTCACGGTCCCATTCTCAGTAACTTCGGTCACGTAGTTGCTTTCACAGTTGTCGCGCGCAACCCACGTGTCAATCCATTCACGGACGGGGATAAAGGGTGGAGTGTTATTGCCGTTGTACGGAACAATCTTGTCACTGAGACCATGTAGGTTCAAGTAAGGAAGTGCTCGGCCCCGTAGGTCTGGTTTGCAGCCTGCTTGGTAGAGCGGCTCCGTCATGACGGCATCCGGGTAGAAGGCTCCGCCGACAGTGGAAACGGCAGCAAAGTGCTTGTTAAGGGCTGCGTCGCACATGAGAAGCGCAACCATGCTTCCTCCGTTGGATACACCAGTGGCGTAGAGGCGCTTTTCATCCACGCAAAAGGTACCTGTTAGGTTCTTCCGGATCTCATCGACGAAGATGCGGTCGTCAATAACCGAAGAGTTGGGCGCAGCAACGTCGCCTAGCCATTGCACCTGCATTACTTTGTCAGCCGAATCAAAATATCGTCCCGGGAATGATTAACTAACACCTGGAGCTTGAACGTCCATGCCGGCAGGGTATACGACAATGGAATCCTTGTTGAAGTTCGGGTCTGACAACTGGCTGATCTTCTCCATGTTCCGCGCAGGCTGCAATTGGCCGTGGAAAGCAAAGATCAGCGGCGCCGGCTTGTTATTCGAGGGAGCATAATTCGTAGGTAAATGCAAAATGTATTCCCGTTGCGTTGTTTGGCCAATAACGGATTTGGATGAAATAGTCACATTGTGGGTTGAGGTACCAGGCTTGAAGTTGATCGGCAACGAACTACCACAGCCGGGGCTTGCGAGAGCAAGGGGTGTAAGCCCTGCAAGGACACCTAGAGCGAGAGTAAGAGGAGCCATTATTGCGATCGTGGAGCGTAAGGAGGCCGATTGCCGTACGGATCATCTCAAGCCAGGTACACGCGCCATTTATACTGAACAACGGGGAAAAAACGCAACAGCTGTGGACATCCTCCTTCCGTCGCGCACGATCAGCTCAACGGTCCCAGCTCGGCCCAGCTGTCAGCCGTAGATTGCAACGGGTCAGCTTCTTTCGGCCCGTTGCTTAGTGCTGAGACGCGCTTTTATGCTCAAGATAGTAAGTAAACAGTCGGTGAACAGCATTTAATAGGGACGAGAGATGTATCGAGCCAGGCAGATGGCATGACATTTATTGACAGTTCCCCTTTCTGGTAAGCTTGTTTGAATTAGGAGGGCATGTTATAGGTCTGATTCAAGATTTTCATTGTCGAAGGTAGTTGTGATGTGTTAGGCATGTCAGCGTTGTCAAAAGGTAAGTCTAGATCAAATTAGCAACATCCCCATATCAAACCTTGCATACTGATTCTTGTTCAAACAAATGCGTACAGTTTTACCTTACACCAACTATGGCGGGATATCAACAACGTGATGTTTGGTATTTAGCATTTGGTAATTGACGGTTAACAATTTACGATCGATTACACACGCACGTCCCTAATGCGATTACTGGAGTTCAATTTATCCGATGAAACCTATCGATGAACATACAAGGTCACAATTTCTGTTCAAATATTTTGCATTTTGCATTTTGCAACACCAGCAGGGGAACTGCATAACAACGAATTTCGAACAGTGACATGCTTGGGTGCTATTTATAGTATTGGTGGGAAACCACTCGCTCATGAAACGATCCGCCTAGAGCTATCAGAACCCCGGACACACGTCCAGTAAACCTTAATTATCTCTCCGCGTTACCCTGGACTGTAAATGATGTTTTATCGGCAGAAACTGCGGACGTTTGCGGAGCAAAGTATCATCACAAAACTTCAATCAGCTTATTGCACAGGGTTTGTTTGTAGCATCACTTGGAACAGTATTAAAGTAACATACCTATACGCGAGGAAAGAAACACAGCATATGGAGAAGAAGATGTAGTAAACAATGAATGAATTATTACCAGGTAACCTGCCATGGTAACGCCAATATCCTGCTACCAAGCGTCCAATCTAATCCATCCATCATCAAAATACGCCCAATACTCCACCTCTCCCGCACCTACCTCGTTCGCAACCACAGTGGAGTTTCTCAGATGATAAAGCGGTCGCGCCGGTCGCGGCGGCGGTGGTAGTGATGGTGGTGATGTTGATGATGACGGTGGTGGCTGCAGTAGTAGCGGCGGCGACGGCGGCGGGCCTGAAATCTCAAAAACCCCATTCCGCATGCCAATCTCCTCACTCGAGCGCTGCCAATGCTTAAAGCTATGAAACCCAAATTCGTCAATATCACAATTGATATCAGTCTTGCCATTCACCTCTTTAGGCGAACAGAGAATTCCCTTCACCGTGGTCGTGGGCGTGGCCGCTACTCGCATCATGATTGTGGATGGTGGTGCCGCCAGAGACAACCCGTGTGTGGGTCGTCGTCTTGCCTATACGGCTACCGTTTGCATTGCTGTGAGCGTGGTACATACTGCTGGCGTTTTCTTCGAAGCGTTCCATTTCGCGACACTTTTCCTCGTACTTGGCAATGTACTCGTCGCGCTCGCGGTCGGCAGCGTGGCGGGCCTGGATAGCGCGCTCCTTTTGCTCACGAGCCTCGCTCAACAATGTGCGCAAAGAGGTGATTTCGAATTCAAATTCTGCAGAAGAATCCTCGTAGGATGTGACTGTCTCGGTGATCTCTTCATACTTGTGCTTCCATGCATTGAGGTCGGAGTGTGCGCGATCGCGATCGTACTTGAGGTTGGTAATCTCGGTTTGGAAGAGGGTCAGCTGTTCCTGGAGACTGGCAATCTCCGTCGTCAAATGTCCTTGCTTGATGCGAGAGTCTTCGCCCTCGCGGTATAGGACTCGATTACGTTCAGTCAGGGTAAGGATCTCAGACTTAATCTCAGCGGTGGCGATCTCAGACCGGCGAAGAGACTCCTCCAGGATATTGATACGGCGGCGACCATCTTCGACCTTGCGATGCTCGTCGTGGACATCTTGCTTGAGCTGCTCGCGTTCAATGACGATAAGGCGGTGTTCTTCACGGAAGCGATCAATCACACTGGAGAGTTCGGTGCGCTCCAGCTCGATCTCTCGGAGCTTCTCTTTAACAGAAACAACTTCACGCTTGACGTGTTCATGCTTGAGCAAGTACTCATTGGCACGAGCATCAGCTTCCTCCCACCCAGCAACCTTGACCTTGACGTCACGACGCAAGTTCTCGATAGTGAAGGAAAAGTCGTCACGCTCTGCCTCGACAGACCGAAGGGTTTCCTTGAACTTATGGAGCTCTCGCTGAACACGGTCGTGGTTCTCAGTGAGTTCAGTGAATTCACGAGTTGCCTCCTCGATCCTGAACTTGGCACGCTTCAGTTCCTCGTTCAAGCGGTCCTTGTCATGAAGGTGTTCGTCCCGCTCAAGCTCGAATAACTTGATACGCTCATTGATAGTGATGAATTCCTTGCGGGTCAGGTCGAACTTGGAGATGATTTCTGAGTGCTTGCTTTTAAGCTCGGTGTGCTCACGAACAAGTGCGCGAATTTCATTGTGATGCTTCTCCGAGTCGTGACGGGCAACGTCGCGCTCACTCTCGCAGACCTTGAGTCTTGCATACGTAGCTTCCAGCTCGGAACGAGTCCTCTCGTGTTCGCCGACCGTAAGTGCAACAGAGGCTTGAAGCTCGTGAAGCTCATGGCGGGTCAGCTCCAGTGCACGGTCGCGATCCGCAAGTTTCTTTTTATGTTCCGAAACTTGTGCGACGACAGCTGTGAGCTCAAGGATAAGCTTCTCCACCTGTCTCTTCCTCTCTCCATGCTCATGACCGTGTTGTGAGTGCTCGGCTTCCTTGCGCTGAATCTCCTCGGTGACTTCCTCAACTGTGACCATAAGCTCGTCTCTCTCGCGCAATAGAGTGTCACGCTCTGCGAGGATGCGTGCCCATGACTCTTTGAGCGAGGCAGCCTCGCGAGAAGCATTTGAAATAAGATCCATTAGAGCGAAGACCTTTCCGTCCGCCTGAGTGGTAAGCTCGCTAGACATCTTGCTACGATGTGACTGGAGAAAGCTACTAGTACGGCGAGAGGAGCTATTGAGCTGACGATTTGATCGACGGGTGGTCAGCGTTGCCATATGGCCATTGGCTTGGGATGCAAAAGAGAAGGATCGGTTGCCGGTAGGGGATGAGGGCTCCGACATGATATCTCGGCCAAGCCCGCTGGCCTTGAGCTTCATGACAGTGAGCTTCTCGGGCGTCATGTCGTTTTCGACTGGGAACATGTCGGTCATGGTGGCTATGAAATGCAACAAAAGATGAAATGGAAAAAGGTGGTTGAAGTTTAGGAAGTGGAAAACACGAGCGGCTGGCGATACTTATGCTGTCTGTAGCGGGAGTCAAGGGGCGATGAATTAGCTGATTTGATAATCTTGAAATGGCACATTGACACTTTCTACAAGAATAGCAAGCCTATCATCTGACACATGGGCTGCTCAAGGTTGACTGCAAGCAAAGAGCAACACGCATAGGTGACGCAATAAGCCCAGTGCATTTGGCGAAATAGAGCAGCCATCCTAGCTCAAGTTCGACTGACCTTTCTTTTTCGAGCAAAGCACATGCGGCAGCTCGCAATGGCGCGTCTAATGGGGGACTTGTCCAGCAGGATTGTCGGCGACTTGAGAAGTGGGGTAAGCCACGACAATGGTTTCAGCTCGTCATAAACAGCCAAAGACGACACTATGTCGGTATTTCGAGGAGGGCAAGCGATCGCATGCAGAGTAAGCGGGCCGGGGTGACGCTTAGGAGGTCGGGATGTTGAGATGGTGATGCCAAGTGCGGGTAGATCAATGGGGAGTGGACACGGCGATGCTGCACCCCGCTGATCAAATGTGGGCGAACCGGAAGAGGCCTACCACTGACTGAGCACCGCCAAGTAGTGGCTTGCTTTTTCCAGTTTCAATTGGCTTCTTGTGCTTTTCGTGACGCCTAAACGGGAACGAGCAGATGCAAGCGGATATGCCGCCAGCCCAGTTTGAGCAGACCGGGATCGACCCGCACTACTTTGGTGGAGCAACGCCAAAGCGACCAGTCGATGACACGACGTCAGCTTGTAAGGCTACGCCCACGACCGCTCATATTACCCGGCAAATGCGCGTGCTTGTGAAAATACTCTAAGTAGAGTAGGAGGCGGTTAGGTTGCGGGAGACACCGCCTCAGGCCATGGGAGCCGATGTCAGTGCCAGACGACGCCAGTGTGCAGCCGCCTTGGCAGGTGTGGGAGCGATGAAAGCGATGAGACGGGGTGGGGAGACGGTGGTATTTTGCGCTGGCAGCCAACTCATCTTCAAGGCAGAAGCAAAGGACGGAGTGAAACTGTAATTTGCCTATTTCCCGCCCCTCACATGCTTCTAGTGAGACAGGGGTTTGGACAAAAGAAAACGTTCAGATGCTTTTTCGCTGCAATTGGCGTCAGGAACAGGGCAACGTTTTTGGGGGTTCTATTGGCCGCGATAGGGTGCGTCGTCTCAACGTGGTGCACGTGTTGAGCTTTGCAACAATTCATGGTACGTACAAAGAAAATCTGAGCAGGTGATTTGGGAGCATGCTTGTCACACGCATGGACCAGAAAGAAAGTAATAGAACCGGTCGCAGGCTTAGTGCCCGACCGCAAGGCTGCTTCCCTACACCTACGGAAAGAGGCTCGATGTATGTAGATCAAGTGCTAGGTGGCAAGAGACTAAATCCACCGTCTAGCCAAGACGGTGGAAATACGACACTGGGCTCTTTCATGGGCTTATTTTGTTGACCCTTTGTGAATCACAGTAATTGTCCGCCTTCGGCACCATTTGCGTACTCCTCATCTGGCATATCGATTTCCTGTTGGGGAACAAGGATACCATCTTCGTCCTCGTGGCTGGGGGGATCATCAAAGTCGCCGTTCAACTCGGACTGCAAGTCTTGCTCTTGCTCTTGCTCCCTACTCTGGTCCGAGGTAGATTCACTTTGCCTCAAGTCATCCGCCACGCCATCCGAGTACTGGTCACCTTGACTGTCTTGCTGATGGCCGGATTCGGATTCAGCACCTGCGTCTAGTGGAGCGTCTTCTGGGCCCTGGTCCCCAATAGTGGCGCTGGTCGGCACCATGTTCTCTTCATCGACATTGTCCTCGACGTCAGCCTCAACCTCCATGTCATGTGCCTGGTTTGCCTCCTCTTCCTGTACCTGCTTCTCAAACATGGGATCCGCATCGGCCTGCATCAGGTCATGCAAGAGCTGGTCGACTTGGACAATATATCTGTCGGGGATCTGGCGTACAGTGTGACCACGCATCTTGCGGGACGCCAATGGCTTGGTAGGCTTTGTAGGCTTCGCGACTGGCAACTCAGCAGCTTTGCGACCTCTGGGTATCTTCTTCTTCTTCGCAAGAGCAGTAGCAGCAGGGGCTTGTGCTGCATTCTTGGGTGGTCGTCCTCGCCTAGCTGGCGGTGGGGCAGGCTCTCCTTTGGACACCTTGCTGGCTGGTGGAAGCCGGGTACGCAACTTAGAGGCGGTGGTGGTCGACTTGGTCGTCTTAGATTGAGCGGCCTGGCGCTTGCTCACACGAGCAGTGCCCGCCACACGCTTCAGGGCCAGGCCCTCTGCTTTGGGGGGGCGGCCACGCCTTCGTGGAGTTGGTTCTGCTATGTCGGTGACGGCTTCTACATCGTCCTTGGTGCCTTTTCCTTTGGCCTTGTTGGACGTTGCGGCCAGGGCAGCCGACTTGGACGCGTCTGGCTTGCGACCCCGACCGCGTTTTATCGGCTCGGACGCGTCTGGAAGCACGGCGTCAACTTCAGCGGTCACTTTGGAGAGTCTGCCGCGTTTCTTTGGAGGCTCAGACGCAATTAGGTTTGATTGACTAGCGCTTGTCTGGGATTTGGTTGGGCGGCCTCTCTTCTTTCTAGGTGTCGCGACAGGAGTCTCCACTGCTGCTGCTGCGTCTTTGCGATTCGTATCGTGCGCATTTTGACTCTTGGGCGGCATGTTGGATGGTTTTTGTAGCGCTGATGATGCGCGTAGAGCAGTTGAGCTTGGCAAAGTGCAAATGCAACTCTCGTAACTCAATCGCGCAATAATTATGGTGTTGATGGAAGGGGTTGGTTGTAGTAGGACAAAGTTGAGGTGGAGCACTCACCCATCTCCCCAACTAGCGTGCCTATCTGGGGAGACGCGCTATAACGTTATTCACAACGCAACTCTAACTTTGCTCTCTTACCTTGTCTATTCACAATAACTCTCTGGCTTGTTTTGGTCAATCTGATCCAATGAAACCCTACTACCAAGATTATTGTGGAATATTCTGCCTTGCTCAATCGACAACCGGAATGAAAAGGAAAGCGTCTACCATACGTCATATCGTCTCAAGTCCATGAATGTATACGTGTATGGGCAGTGTAGCGTAGTCGATACAGCAGGCAATCTCTTGCGTCCCCTTGGAAAAGTCGGCAATCTATTGGGACTGTAGGCGTGGGTCTGCCCGATAAGTCTCTCTAAGCACGTGATCACTGTTAATCCCCAAACTCCAACGTTGAGCAGCAACCTCACCACATCTGACGTCTTATCCCTATCAGTGATACTCCACGACCTAACTAAATTCTGAGCGCACTCCCATGCACCTATGTCAAACATCGAGCCAGATGAACCCGCAATAGCACATGGCCCCCTTGTTGCACTTTAAACATCATGGTCTTGAAACTCTGCTCAACTAGCACAATTGCATGTATTGAAGCCCACATATTCGGCCATTTAGTGGCTCTCAGTGGGAACTACTTTACCCCGGCACCAAGAAACACTCTTCACTAACCTCACAACAGTCAAGCCACTTGATGTGCGTCTAAGCGAGCAAATTTGCGACACATCCCCGCTCTGCAGTCCCAGTTGCGAACAAAACAAACATGCCTATGCCGTCCGTTCAGTTTTTCTAATTATGTTATAGAAAGTCATAATGGAGATATCGTCATCAAATCACAACACTAGCATCGGTGGTTTAGTGGTAAAATTAGCCGTTGCCATCTCTCCCAGAGAACAGTTTCGGCTAGCCCCGGGTTCGGTAAGTCTCATATCCAGACCAGCATTCGAAGCTTGTGCCTAACATTCAACTAGATTCCCGGCCGATGCAATCATCAATCCCTTCTTTTTTATCTTTTTTTGATTTTCCGGACTTGCCTACTTCACATAACGGTGCATTCTCTACTGTAAATGTTTTGTTGATCTATTTTTATATGGGCAGATTTCTAAACTCACCACTCAGAGAACAGAGTAACCCGGACTTTGATGATCCTCTTATCATGTTACTTGAGAAAATGCGATACTCATGATGAACAAAACAAGGACTGTCATCCTATTGTACTCAAATCCTTGAACTTTGTCTACTTTCGTAATCATATCTACTGAACAACTTGTCGCAGTCCCCTGTGCCCTAGTCTTTGCGTCTCGTTCGATAATTTCTTTACGAAATCAACCAGCAGCATCTACAACATGATGCATACACACCGAATACCCTTTGACGAAGATCTCAGATTGAGGCGCATCACACAAAACAGCGAAGGACGAAGAGGCCAGTCCCCAAATCAAGCCCTCCCCCATCCCAGCTTCTCCACACCTCACAGCAAATCCGCTTCAATGACACTCTCCACAGCCCGAGGATGCCGACTAATCCCCACAATCCTAAACCCAGCCTCGTACAGCAACCGTTCCCAATGCTCTTCCGTCCTCTCCAACCCACTCGTACAATTCATCAACTGCAAATCCAACGTCGTCATCAGACTCGTCGCCCCCTTCTTCGGCAGCACAACTTCATAGATCAAAAGCTTCGAGTACTCGGGCTTAAATGCAGCCTTCACCTGTGAAAACATGCGCACGCAGTCGGCGTCGGGCCAGTCATGCGGCACCGCGTGGAAAAAGTATGCGCGAGCGTGGAGTTGGGGTTGCGGGGTGAAGAAGTCGTAGGCCTGCTTTACGATACGCGGGTCGAGATGCTCAATCGGCATAGCGATGACTTCGGGCGTATCTTGCACAATGAGCACGTCGGTGGGGAGATCACCATGTCTTTCCAGAAGGCGTGAGGTGTCGAGGCCATGGGCACCGCCAATATCAACGAATAAAGGCTTTCCTGGTGAGATGTCGGCTCCGCAGATGATTTTGCGGGTGTCGTATACGTCGGTCCATGCCATCTTGTGGTTTCGCAGTGCTGTCATGAGACCCATGAAACTGCTGCCTTTGCCTTCTGGATCCGCTGCGCAGAGAGCGAAGAAATCTGTACCGTTGGTCATGTCGCGGTAGTTGTCGAGAGCCTGCAAGTCAATGGGCTCGCGGTAGTTGTATTTCTGAAGGAATCGGGGAAGATTGATCCCGGTGGGAATTGTGTGATCGGTGCTAAGTGTGTCAGTAGGTAAGCTATCAATGAATCAAACATCACTGTGAAAGTTCGGACATACCCGCATTGAGTGATCTGATCAGTATGCGATTCTGTGTCTCCAAGAGAAAGCGAGTAAGGCGTTGGTTTCCAGGTATCAACATTCGTTTCTTCGAGCACATAGAGTGCAGCAAGATGTCTAAAAAATCTCCCTGCGTGGTTCCATGTCAGTATCTTGTCCAATCTGATTCTTGTTCTACTCATGGTCAAAAATGTAGGCTTACGCAATAAGTTCGGCTCAATTTGCTTCTTGGCCCACTTTAGCAATTGCTCCAAGTCAACAGCCGTACCTGGCTTCTTCTTATCTGCCTCGGTCCATTTCTCCCAAATACCCAGATCAAGAGCAACCTGAATACCAGCAATAAGCACAGGTGTCTCTAGCGAAAGCCTCCAACCTTGTTCAAACGGCGTCTCGAGACGATTCAGCAAGCGTCGAGCGGCTTCTTTGGCTTCATACCGTCGTGCATCGTCTGCAAACTGTGTGGGTCGGATGGAATCCAAAGACTGTATCACGTTCTTGGAATAGTCTGGCACTCGCATGGTAATTGCAGTCAATTGATTGAGTTTGCTCAGGGGATATGTTTATGTGTTGTGATCAGGGAAGGCAAGATGGGTTGCTTGAGAATACTTATGGTTCATTTCCGCGGCTGCAACGGGCCAGAGCTATTGAAGACACTAATACCCCCTCCTCAAATGCAGTCGCATGTGGCGCGCAAGACTATAGCCTTGGCAATTGTGGATAGGATGCAAGGGGGTATTCCTTCGCGTATGTAGCATTCTATAGGGGTTGATGACTCGTGTAGAAGGATTGCCCCCTGCTGGTGATTCATTCTATCTTGCAGACTGTGATGTCCTGGACCGTTTCACGCAGCACTTGGGTGCTTTGGAGGCGAACTCGTAGCTTGCAGTCTACTGCTAGACTTTTCATTTCTATCTATTGTCTTTTTGTAATAATCATGTCAAACCAACTTGCTGGAGGTGGATCTGGAGAGCGGACAGCTCGAATACGACCTCTAGTAGTAGCTGCAGCAATCCAGCCTCTGTAAAGTTGAAATCGCCAATTGTATGTTGCAGGTCAGGAGGAATTCATATTCTTTCACTCCCATCATTTACTCAAAGCGCGCGTCTTGGGTGTCCTTTTTGACTTGCCGCTTCTACAGAACAGCGCCACTGCGACGCGGATGAAGCAACTGAAGGGTCTGTAACCAACTCGACAATGCTCTCTCTCCTGGCAGTCTCCATGTCACTCATTTTCGTCTCAAAATCCGTCATTTTGTAAATCTCGAAGCCGCTTTTCTTCTTCTTGTGTAATGGGTTCGAATAGGTGCGAGAGTATTTCGACGAGTAATCGCTAGTGTATTTTCTCGTTGCCCAGGCTTCTGCTCTGAAGAGACCGTTTATAACTGGTGCGTTAACAGCGAAAATTGATACAACCTTTGGTGAGGCGTCAGAACAGCTCGATATCAACCGTAAACAGTTGTTTGAACTTACCGCCTCACGTTGCGCCCATACTGAGGCGAGAGCTACTTGAACAGAAGTTCCTATTGACAAAATACAGCGGGCTGTAGCCATTCCCATGACAAAAAGACCAAGGGAAAGTAGGAAAACGATTCTGATCTTTCTGTCGGCAGAATTTAGCAAGAAGAAAATTTGCTTTTGGTGCAAACCGCAATAACTCACCGCCAAAGTCTGATATGTGAGTCTTTGAGCATCCAAAAAGGCACTACAATCAACAATGCATCAACCCTACCGTTTTGTTAGCTTGTTGTTATACGATTTAATGAGATTACCTACAAGACATTGCCTACTGCAATGACAATGTTGATGACAACACCAGCCGAGCATTCCTTGCCAGGGTCAGGAAGAATTTGCCAGTTTCTTTTCAACGGCAAACAATGCGTTGTCTGTGTGATAATTGCCGCGATACATGCGGCAATCGACACACCTCCAATCATTTGCACGTATTGGTATAGAGGCGTGTCTCTCCTACAAACTATAGTAAGTATAAGTTGTTTCCTCGAGGCAGCAAAGCTTACGTGAAACGAAGGAACAGAACGATGATACAGCCCTTAAGACTCCAGACGAGGAAGATCAGGAAGTAAAAAGAGGCAAACATCGCCTTTGCACCTTCTCGCATGGACTTCCGTGTTGCAGGCGGAAGTGCTTCGCGCTGTTCCTGTGTCATCGCTATTGGAGCTCCAGTTACATCTTGGGAGGTTCAGTCCGATATCTCTATGCAAAGACATTTGTCGGTATCGCGAACTTACTGAGAAACTCTACCATTGCATAAATCATGGTGAAGAAGACCCAAGACGAGAACGCAAAAAAATCATCCCAATAAAAACCTCGCCATCCTGCAATCTTCCATCTTGCGAAAAACCGCAATAGAATAATGGCACTGCCAATGGCATATTCAACCCGGCATTCGGTAAGTATCGCATTGGGATCCAGCATGTTTCTGACGCACTGTTAAGGCGTGTGAGTAGTATACTGATAAAGTCAAGGCAAGCTCGCTCGCCGTGCGATCCTATATGAGGCTCCATTTTCGGAGATGCACATATGATTTCAGAGGCCCGACGTCCAGTGCTCCATGCCCTTAATGCGGACGGATGCAGCAGATAGTAACTTGGCGAAGGATTCTATATCAGGGGTCGGGTGCGCCGTTGGATGGTATGTGGAAATCAGTTGGGTTACCCATTCACAGCTCTCCCCGAATGACGAACGCTCCTCTTCCAACATAAAAGGACGATCACAAGAAGGGCCACCTTGTACTACGTGAGCTGCCCCTCCAATTACTACTGCTCGGCATCCGCGGAACATGATAAATGGGAGGAAACTCAGAAATAATTCATGCGACCTCGCTTAGCAGAATAATGACTCGTGATGGTGTGAGTGAGAAGAAAGAATTGTGGAGCAGGAACTATAGTAGGAGGGAAAAAAGAGCCGTGGTGGATGCGGCATTGCGGCGTTGCGGCGCGGATGCGGCTGACCCATTACACTGGTCCTCACCTACAAGTTCGCAACGTCTATCGTATACACATAGGGATTAGTATTGTTTAATAGAACGGCTCATGGTATGCAGTGTTTTCAGCGGCTCATCCCATACCCTCAGTTACAAATCCTGTTGGAGGTAGCCATACATGCATCGACGATACCCTCCGCGGAGGCGGCTAGAACAAAGGACAAGGACTCGAAAACTGCTGTAATCCCTGAGCATCAGAGTATGCTTTAGGTACACATATACTGTGAGGCTAGACAGTTCTACTTCAGGGTATAACTCCTCCAGTCGGTTGTTCCAACAGCTTAGGGGTCGGAAAGCCCGCAACTACTGTCGACCTTTCAAGCAAGTGATCGCTACGAAGGATTTGATGCGTGTTTCAACACTGCACTCTAGCTCCTGCAGCGGCAGTTGATAGCCAACGAGCAGAGTGTCGGAGATTATCATGCCCTGTTGTTGGGAGCAGGAGCTTGGCTGAAGCCCAGGATTGTTACACGACCTCAGAGGCATACTGATTCGTCTTGGTCAATATCATCTCAAAATATCATACACAGCACCCCCCCCCCCTTCCCCCCAAAAAATCCCAACACGACACCTAATGAAGACTCTCCTACGTGTCCATGTCACAAAATCCAACTCCCATCTCTACTCTTGCATCTGAATTCCACGTGTATCATCCAACCCTTTGCATCACCCAGCCGCTTCAGGTTCTTCAAAATAGTAATATACTCCCTCGGTTTCATAGGCGTATCCGTGTCAAATACGAATACCAGTCTATTCAGTTTCAAATGCAGATACTGTGTCTCAAGCGCCAACGCATGGCACGATGACATGAGACCGAGTCCGATGTCATGAAGTGGGAAACACATCTCCGATTCGTTGTAGGTGAGTGACGAGGTAGGTGAAGTTAGAGCGTAAAAGTAGATGAGATTGCGGATTTCTCCCGGAAGACCAAGGAGGAAGGGGATTTCCGTGGATGATGTGGTAGATGGTGTAGTGGTGGGGCTGGCTTCTAGTGGACCGAGGAGCTTGAGATGATGCTTTTTAGCTTTTGGTCGGGATTTGCCTATCTTTGTGGGATTCTGGAAGGAGAGCTCGTGTGAGTGAGAAGAGTTGCAAGCGTCTTAAAGTCATAGCGCTTCATCGGAAAGGCATGGTTGTTATGATGGAGGAGGCTGAAGAAGCATCTTTGCTATCGTTGATGTATTGCGGGTGTTACTAGATATTGCCGATGTGCTGGGATGCTTGGTGGTGGGGTGAGGGGTGAGAGGACTCAATAAGTATCCACTGGTGTGGAGGAAGTCCAAAGCTCACTTTAGGCAGACGGTCCTCATGGTCTTAGAATAGGGAAATATATATTATGCTAGGCATTGTTGGTATTGGACGGTGAATGATGAGGGTATCTCGCTACCAAGTAGTATTGGGCCACATTCACAGTTGCTATTGTCACGCCTGCAAACCCAGAAGTCAGCAAAACCACAGTGTGCTACTCAGAGCAATACTCACTAACATCTGGAATGCCCTGCTCCTGTAATGCGCACTATATATACTGTTCTCACATGCAGAGTGGGAGAATTCCAACCCAAATCACAACGACAGGTATATCAGAAAACCACCGTACTCTTCTGTCCTAGCAGCATATTCTCCTCGAATTCAATTTTCTTGATATGCTGCCCCGGCACAACAATCAGTCCAACAAAGCGGCTGTTCCAGGCCACAGACGCAGATTGGTTACCCGACTCTTCAACTGCCTTGCGAATGGCCTCTGCCGAAGGAGCACGGTACTCATGTGCTAGCGCGAGAATGATGTTGCGGTCCTGATGGACGTTAAAAGCCGCTGTGATTCATAATCACAGCCAATATCAGCTACTCACCTTGTCCGTGCATTTCATCTGACCACCAAAGACGCGGCCATCACTCGCGTGTATGCGCAGGTTCTTTCCAATAAACTGGCTTAGCCAAAAGGTGGCTTGCTCGTTGTCCATTTCAGGCGTCTTTTTGGCTCGTGAGGAGAACCAACTGTGGCGGTTTCTCCTCTTTGCCGCCAACATGGTCGCTCTCTGGAAAAAGAGGGGACCCCAATGTGGCTGTGTAAATCGCCTGGGGCTGGAGGAAGTGGCTTGAGGCGAATGGAGGTGGGAAACATCGCCGAAAAACCTTGGCGTCTTGGCGTGTTTGACGCGTTTGCTGATGATTTTTGGAACTGTAATGAGCGCATGCGACGGCCGCAGTTCTCGCCCACGACAAGATGCATTCAATACGGCGGAGCTGCCAATTGGCACTCCAGAACCCACGATATGCCTGTATATACGCCAATTGCTCGAGGCGGGCCTTCTCACAGAGTTCCGCCCACTCAAGAGGTCCGCATCCTCTTCCTACTCAACCAGCACTGTTCGCCCAGAGATTGACTCGATACAGGCGCCCTCCCAAACTTTCTCCCACCCTCTTCTCCTGAGCTCTCCACCCTCCTCTCGACCTTCAATTCAAAGGTCTTGCTCCCATATCATCTGACAAAAGAGCAACAAAAACTCGTCTATTCGCAAGAGTCCCGACCCAAACTCGAAGCCGAGCCTGTGGAGATTACCCTGGGAGACGTCACTCTTCCCCTCGAGCACCTGGACCGTAACAAGCTACCCGACCGCTGGCAGACACTCCGTGGTGTAGTGGAGAAGAGCGAAACGCAGGAAGACTGGGAAAACGTACTTCGATGTCTCGAGGGATTCGTGGAAGCGGGAATCAGGGCCAGGCCCCAATGGCAGGAAATGATTATCAGGAAACTGGCCTTGGCCGATATGCACCACTTGATATTGAAGGCGCTGCAGAGGCCAAAGGCAACAGGGATTCGTCTGAGCAACCGAGGTGTGCTGACCCAAGTCTTGAGAAGTGTGCACAGCAGGGCTGCAATGGCCGAATGGGACCAGGAAGAGACGACAAAAGCGCTCAAGATGGCGAAGCAGGTTGTGGAGCTCATGGAGCATAAGGATCATTGCGGTAATAAACCTGTGACTCTGACAGAGAAGGATGGTGACTGGAGGGGGCACCCTGTTGTTATTGCGCTACCCACTGAACTGGCTGCTGTCGTTGCTGAGAAGTACGGTGGGGACAAAGAGGAGGCCAAGAAGATGGCAACCCGCTTGGTTGCTGCAATCAAACAGATCGATTTTGTTGTAAGTCTCCCTCTTCCGCCGACCACCTGAATATCTTTTAATTAACATTTTTTTCTAGTCATCGCTCAATGGTCTCTCGGAAAGTTCAACCAAAACGTCTGCCGACTTCCCGGATGTTAAATCGCACCTCGACTTCGTCACCAAGCATTGCCATGATTTGCTCGAACTTGTTATTGTTTGGAACGCGCTCAAGACGTCTCGCAAGGTGCTCGGGGGCGACATGCCCATGGCGAACGAGGCGCAGCAATTCGAGAAAAAGGTTGAGCAAGTCCTGATGCAATCAGTAGATAAGCTCAATACTCTTGCATCACGCGATGGAGGGGTGCTGAAGACACAGTACCTAGGCATGGTAAAGGAGGCGGTTGAGGAGTGCAGTTAGGGCGTGAGACTGTAAGATGTAGGATCATATTGTAAAAAAAACACCGAGGCTACCATGTGAATATCCAAGTATGATATATTTCTACGCAATGCAGAAAGAGCTGGCGTTAGCCTGTCATCAATTGGAGAAAGCTCTAAACCCGATTAAAAAAATGAAAGCTTTCATCAACTTCTAATCCATCACTCTCCTGATTTCGAAACAATAAAAAGAGCAAATCAATAATTCTTGACTTTTAAGCAATAACGCCATGACTGGTTCTATCACAATACCAAGACCCCCAACCTAAGACGTAAAATCCCACCTCCTCCCCCTTGACCTAACCACCCTCTTATCACCCTTATACTTGAACACCCTTATCTTGCGCCTCCCCTTCTCTATACTTTTCCTCAACCCAGCCCTGACCCCGGTACTATCCACGAAAAACTCGTCGTCAGGCCCAACCTCCACCGCACGCTCCAGCCGCTCCAACTCGTCAATCTGGTCAAAGATAGGGTGCCTGGGCAGCATGAACACGTCTTCGATTAGCAAGCCAACGAATTCGTTCCAGGTATCTAGCACCATGGGCCGCGAGTTTATGCGTGCGTGCGCATGTAGTCGCAATGCATCGCCGTAGAGACCGAGGAGCTTGTCGAGCACAATTGTGTTTTTAGAGAGTATGCAGCGTAACTGTGTCTGGAGGTGCTGATGGTTTCGGGGGCTGTGGAGGTCAAGGCGCATGGTGGGGAGCTTGCACTGGATTTCGTGCAGAACGAGCGAGCAGAAGCAGCGGTTTGGAAAGTCGTCGGCGTAGTCTGACAGGAGGATGGCGTCGATGAGCGTGGGGTGTAGAATCTTTTCCAGGTCCGTGAGAGACGGCATGATGTACGGAGCGGGATGTTTGCCGACATATTTGGGAGAAAGATCAGGGAGTGCTGTGGCATGCGCGGATTTATTCTCAATTATACGTTTGAGCTTGATTGTTGTGGGTAGAGGAACTATATGGCGGGTGAAATCGAGCGGTTGGCTTCTGCGTCTTCTAATAGCCAGTTGAAACGGAGTTGGTAAAGGAGTTTTGGAGTCCGAGGATGAAGTCAACTGTATACAAGCAAAGTCCCGTATAATGATGTCAGAGGGAAGCCATGTTGACCGAGAAGAGAGATTCCCCTCTGCCTCTTTTGCATCGGATTCGGAAAAAGCTCGTGGCCTTTTGGGTAACGCTTGAAATGGATCGATTTCAGAATGATCGACAAGAGTTTGCGGAGATGGGCGCCCCGAAGCATCCTTGGTGACAGGCGATGCAAGCCGAGTATCAGAGACAGCACGCACTGCACCAATAGTACATAGACCATTCGACGTCTCCAGCGAATGACGCATTGGGGAATCCGCTTTGGCGTTGATAGTGCCAGACTCGTGTATATCTTTCTCATCCCATAACGTCTCCAACGATTGCGGCAGCGCAAGCTGCGCCTCTGTATCCATATTCACAACGAAAGATGATGGTAGTGGAATAACGGTACTCCATGCCAGGATAACAGTAGCGAGTTGACAGTGGACGTAAGTTTTCGGCTTGACAGACATTCAAGAAGACAAGAGTGATTGACTTGCCATAGGAACAAAATAGGAGATAGACAAGGGGGGAGAAATAGCGAGCTTGAAGGTATTGGGGTGCTGCCCTGTGTGTCCTCATTCCATCTATTGAAATGTTGCTGCCTTATTTGTAACCACGGTTCTCTAAGCCGCTGCCTTTGTTGTGATCCTTGTAGAAATTACTACCCCAAACGCAAGTTCTCTCCCCAAAATCCTATCCTGGAAGGCTACGGGGAAGGCTACGTTTCTTTTCTAAGAAGCAAGAAGCTGATACGCGACACGCAAACCAAGTGGGATCCCATCAAAGTAACAGTGATCACGGTGAGTAGTAACCAGTCGTAACTGCCACTCGTTCTCCCGCTGGAAGAATCATTTAGCAAAGCAGCAGGTGGACATCGTTGCGCATGGTCACAAGGACAAAGCGATCCCGGCTATTCGAGAAAGGCAACCGCGGCTGAAGGCCGAGGAAAGGACACAGAGCCTTGAACATCAGGCGCTGCTCGTGAAATAGTCGTATTCGTACAATGGTATCATTCTTCAAAGCCCAACCACTCTCCGGCGTCGCTGTCTCCATCTTCCATTTCTTCATCCACAATGCCATTTTCTATTTCCTTAACGCCAAAGTCGATAGCAAGTGGTGTGTCATCCTTCTTACCCACAGGTTGAGAAAGCAGATATTCGATGCGATAGATGTTGTCATCTGCTAACCTGGCAAGTTCGGCTTGAATCCTCCTCACTGCCTTTTCCACGCTTCGCAACTCTGCTTCTAAACCGCCCTTATGCTCTTTCATCCATCGGCCGTGCTTGCTAAGAAGCGATTCTATCCATACCAAGTTGAATTCCAGATGTGGGGACTCGTCGGCCTGGTGTGCGACGAACCGCAGTAGCCGACCAAGGTAGACAGAAGGCAGTTCTTTAACTACAAGCGGGATATTGGTGACGGGTGTAGCTTCGTAAACGCGTCGGATGAGGTTGCGCTCATTCAATCGGAACGCCATTACTAGGGCCTTGAGGTAATCCTTTTGTGCCAAAGTATCGAGAGTGGTCGCTGGTGTGACGCTAATGTCAAGATCGAATGGATCAAACTGGAACGTATTGTCCAGCGAGTATATGAGCAAGCCCTCTGTGGAGGCAGCACAAAAAGCGCGTCCAGTAGGCGAAAAGGCAACGTCTGGGACTCGCACTTCAGGCCGTGTTCGCCTTGCGCCAATGCCCTTTTGAGCGCCGGGAAGGGTAGTATCTCTGCGGTCTTCAAGATCCGACGCTTCGCCTTGGTCATCAATGAGGCCTTCTGGACCTGCTTCAGTGAGGAGTTTGCTGTTCAAGAACTCTTGTGTACCATCCAAAGATAAATTGACAGATACAGTAAACTTCTTGAGCAAAGCACCTGACTGGACATCATACAAGCAGATGTATTTGCTGTTGCCGCCAGCCAAGACGCAAGTGCCGTCTGCACTGTACTTGACAGATGAAAAGGCCTTTGTGCCGGCGACATTGGCTGCCGTTCGTCGGTCGGACATTTTACGGCCACCAGATACATCCCGTCGCGCATCGACGCCGCTCTCCTGTGCAGCGTCGGAGACATTCCAAAAGGTTAGCTGGCCATCGAGCGTTGTGACGGCAATTTGCTTTGAGTCTGGACGGAAAGCCACGCAGAGGATATCAGCCATGAGCTGTAGTGGCTCGCTAGTCTGAGTGCGGGCAAAGATGTTCCAAAGGCGCACGGTCCTGTCCCAGCTTCCACTGACTAGTGTACCTGCATCTGGAGAGAAGGATAGAGAGGATACAGGGCCTTCGTGTCCTGATAGGCGATCGAGCAGCTGGCCAGTCTGAACTGACCAGATGTGGATGTCAAAGGAATCGATGGAACCTGCGCAAACAACCTCTCCACTGGGATCGACAGCGAGCGAGGAGAAGGAAAGTCTGGAGGGAGCTGTGAATGTGCGAAAATTCCTGTAGCGATGCAAGTCCCATGCGCGTACGGAGCCGTCAAGACTGGCTGTGAACAGGACATTGCCTTTTTTTGCAAATTCGCAGGCTGTCACACCACCCATGTGCTCTGTAAAGGTGACGACGCAGAAGCCCGAGTTGACGTCCCACACCTTGATCTTGCCGTCGTCTGCGGCAGTAATAATTCTTTGACCATCTGGCGAATAGGCAATGGTGTTCATGGAGTCAAAATGGCCTTGCTGCTTCAAGATGTATGATTCCGACTGCCACTCCCAGACGAGCAGCTGGCCCAGCTTTGATGCACCAAAGGCGAGCCACTCGCCAGTCTTGTTGATGGCGACATAGTCGATGTCGTTTTGCGATATGCTCAGGCTGGAGATTTGAGCGAAGTCGGGCAGTTCGTGGATGAAGAAGATGCCGTGAGAAAAGCCGGTGACGAGCAGCTTGGACTCTGGGTGGAAGCTAGCGCATGTGACATGGGCGTTGTTCTGGTGAAAAAAGTGGCGTTCTGTGATGCCCCACTGGAGGTTGTCGTCGTCGTCTTCATCGGCGTCGGCAGGCGCATCGTAGCGCAACATGTACTTCCATGTGAAGAGGGCGCCATCCTTGCTAACAGTGTAGATTGTTTCCTGGTCTTTTGAAAACCATGCACCAGTGACCTCTTGGCGGTGGCCGCTCAGCGTGGTTTGCGCATGTCCCTCTTCCTGGTCAAGGCTCCATATGCGGGCTGTCATGTCCTTTGATGCGGAGAGGAAGAAGCGCGAGTCGCTCGACCATTCTATGCTCTTGACGGCGTTGTAGTGGCCGGTGTAGACGCGGTGGCGCACAAAAGGCGCAAACTCGAGGTCACCCTCTGCGACATCTGGGGTTGAAGGCGTGTGCCATACTTGAATTTGGCGTCCGATGCCCACTGCGAAATGGCGACCCGATGGCGAAAAGGCGAGGGCAGTCACTTCGCCGCCGAGGGAGAAGTGGTAGAGGACGATGCGGCGGGGGACATTGGTGAGGACTGCGCGGCCGTCTTGGTCGACGGAAAGAAGAAGATTTCCGCGGGGGTTAAGTGCGAGGCGAACGATGTTTTTGCGATGGGCAAAGGGAAGCGTGTACGACTTCGAGCTGGGATGCGTGAGCGGGCTGGATGCGTGGACAGATAAATATATGCGCCCACATACCTTACGAGGTCGAAGACAGTCACGCGATTGCCTACAGGCGATAGCAGACAGGTGCCATCTGGGGTGAAGAGAAGGTTGCCTCTGCTGTAGACAGTACCCAGCAAGTTGGAGAACTGGGATTATGTCAGCCAGGTGATTGTGTTGTGTAATTTGCACATGTATACTGGACGTACCTGGAAGTCAGTCTTCATGATCGCGATGGGCTGCTGAACTGCGTGACCATTGCGTTATCCAATATAGTCTGAAATGTATCGTACTGTAATGTACTCAGTGTTAATGGTCGTCGAGTAGTAACGATTCCAAGTCCACAACTTTTTTCCAGCGCTCGGATCTCCATGCAGACGCGCTAGTCAGGCGGATTCCCCGTCGCGGGCCCGTGCGCGCGTGCCTACCGACTGACCGACCGCCCGACTCTCGCAGAAAGGGGAGTCGGCCTAAATTGTCCACCACCACAAACAACGATCTCTCTCTTCTACACATAGCCCACACGCTTGCTCGTTGCTGGATCACGTTTGTGTATGTAAGTAACTCACCCATCCACTCCTCCTCGTCACTATCATCGTGATCCTGCTTGCACGCAGTCATGTTGGATTCGCGCCAAAGCCTCGACTCGACTACTAACACGTCCCTGTAGACCCTTTCCCCGTATCCATCCCGCACCTTTCTCAGCAGCTCTCGACACCACCACACCATGGCTGAGTCCGCGTCCCCAATTGGCATTGCCAATGTACGTATCTCCTTTCTCTAGCTATACATGCTACATACTAACTCTCTTGCCAGCTCCCCAACCAGAGGTACCGTCTACTGTCTCGAATGGACACGGAGCCCCCAGTCTAACGTAGCACAGGCACAAGATTGTTGCCAAGCGTGGTGCTGCTTTCACCATCATGGTAAGCCACAAGTTGCCTATACTCGCCTCGCGGATCCCCCATCTAACACGTCTAGGTTGCTGGAGAGTCTGGCCTCGGAAAGACGACCTTCATCAACACCTTATTCTCCACCACCATCAAGAACTACGCCGACCACAAGCGACGACACCACAAGCAGATGGACAAGACGGTCGAGATTGAAATCACAAAGGCAGAGCTTGAGGAGAAGTTCTTCAAGGGTAGGTTTCTCCTTCTAAATGCTTATATACAACCCTAGATACAATGGCTGACCCTTTGTAGTCCGACTCACCGTCATCGACACGCCCGGATTCGGCGACTACGTCAACAACCGCGACTCGTGGCAGCCCATCATCGAGTTCCTTGACGACCAGCACGAGTCGTACATGCTCCAAGAGCAACAACCACGTCGTACCGACAAGATCGACCTCCGTGTTCACGCCTGTCTCTACTTCATCCGCCCCACAGGTCACACACTCAAGCCCCTCGACATTGAGGTCATGAAGAAGCTGTGCACACGCGTCAACCTCATCCCCGTTGTCGCAAAGGCTGACACATTGAGTCCCACGGATCTGGCTAGGTTCAAGATGAGGGTACGTGTGCTTCTTTTTTTTCTTGTGCGCCCCCTGCGACGCATACTGACCGCTTCTAGGTACGCCAGGTGATTGATGCTCAGGGCATCAAGATCTACACTCCCCCGCTAGAGGATGACGACGCTGCCGCTATGCAGCACGCCCGCAGCCTCATCGACGCCATGCCCTTCTCTGTCATTGGCTCCGAAAAGGACGTGCAGACCAACGACGGCCGCACCGTCAAGGGCCGACAATACGCATGGGGTGTTGCCGAAGTCGAGAATGAGGAGCACTGCGACTTCAAAAAACTGCGCGCTATTCTCATCCGAACCCACATGCTCGACCTGATTCACACGACCGAGGAGAACCACTACGAAGCCTACCGCGCAGGCCAGATGGAGACGAGGAAG